ACGTGCCTGATAGGCAGGCAGCAGTTATCACACCAAGCGGAGAGCTTTCATGGACTTATTATTTCTTTATTATTATTATTATTATTATTATTATTATTTTCAATATATTTTTATGGATTTTTTGCAGAGAGGAAGGGAGAAAGATAGAGTTAGAAACATCGATGAGAGAGAAACATGGATCAGCTGCCTCCTGCACACCCCCCCCCCCCCCCACTGGAGATGCGCCCGCAACCAAGGTACATGCCCCCGACCGGAATCGAACCTGCGACCTTTCAGTCCGCAGACCGACGCTCTAGTACTGAGCCAAGCCGGTTTCGGCACAAAACGGACTTACTTCTTGAAGTGTGTACTACATGTTGCCAAGAATATCGCAAACATGTTACTTCATGGATGGCTCTGCAAAGAGGCAATCAGGAGGAAGCCCCCTCGCGGTCCGATCTTTATTCTCGTTCACGTAAATCCTCGAGGGTCCGCTCGAAAGGCCGACCTCTTGCCACGTTTTGGTCGGACACGAGGGCACTGGCTAGTGGGACCCCATTTTCCCAGCCATCTGGAAACAGGGAGACGGGGGGAAGGTCACCTTCAGAAGGGCTGTTCCCGGAAGCGGCAGTGTGTTTTTAAACACTATGGATCTGCCAAGAGCAAGTGCTCGATCCATCAAGTGCAATAATCGAAGCTCCAGGCGATGGCAAGACAGATGGTGGGGACTTGGCCCAAGAAGAGCAGGGAATGAGGATGCATTGCAGGCGAGCTGGGCTCCCGGAGGATGGCTGTAACGACGGAAAAGTGACCGCCCCACTCACAGGGGCCCTTACCCAGGCTGGGGCTTTACGGCCAGATCCACACCACCAGGGAGGGAGGCGAAATGCCTCACTGAAGTGCTTTATGGTGCAGCCAACAGAGCATCCGGAGGCCTTCGGAAGAGGTGGATGAAAGCAGTAACTCACGGCGAGGTCGCTGTCCGGTGTTGCTGGAAAGTCCGTCCCCCTCCTCGCTCGGACCGGAGGATGGGCTGTTGCAGACACAGGCCGTGGCGGTGAGGAGGCGGGTGCCCCCCATTTTGATTTTATCCTGTGAGAAATGGGAAGGGCTGCCGTTTCTTTCAGTAACCAGCTGTACAAATAAAAAGGGACAGGCGCGATAAGGAAGGTCGTGGATGAAAACAAACGGAAGGAGTCAAATAAATGATGTGAAATGCTTTTGGGCCAAAACAGAAGTCGTTTTATATACTGGTAGTTGAGCAATCCTTGTGTTACCCAGGAAAACCCAAATCTGTTTATTGTGATTCGTTAAAACCCAGAAAAACTGAATCTATGATAATAAAAGTATAATATGCTAATTAGACCAGACATCCTTCCGGACAATGTAAGGGCTTTGAGGGAAGCCTGGGTCCCGGGTGCCAGAGGGAAGCCAGTGCTGGCAGCCAGGGAGAAGGAAGGCCTTTTCTTGCACGAATTTCATGCATCGGGCCTCTAGTTTAACAATGAAAATAAAAAATCCAGTGTTTCGCTTACATATAATATATACAACATGGAACATAATCAACTGAGAAGCAAACCCAGTGGCAAGTCCATGGTAATATGAACACACAATTAGAACTATCTCTGCATTTCCCTCCCCTTACGTTTTACAGTAGGACAACATTTTAAACACGGAATTGAATTGGCCTGATTAGGATTCTGATTGAAAATTTTTTTAAAAGTCATTCGAGAAAAACCACACTTGAATCTTTTTTTTTTTTTTTAATATATTTTATTGATTTTTCTTACAGAGAGGAAGGGAGATAGAGAGCTAGAAATGTCGATGAGAAACATCGACCAGCTGCCTCTTGCATCCTACCGGGGATGTGCCCGCAACCAAGGTACATGCCCTTGACCGGAATCGAACCTGGGACCTTTCAGTCTGCAGACCGACGCTCTACCACTGAGCCAAACCAGTTTTGGCCACATTTTAATCTTTTTAATCTAGTTAAAATCCTATTGTCAATTGGTGAATGATATATTTTTTAATGGCCACGGAAGGCCTTACAATGATTGTTTCAAGTATCTTACGGTATATTTCAAACGTAAATAAGGTAAGTCTTGGCTTTAAACAGGTCGCTCTTTGTTCTCCTTCTTCCTTCTTGTGGTTTATTTCTCCCAGGTTTGCTGCAGTCTTTCTGAGCAGGATGCTTCTGTCCCTCAGTGCACCTGACCTGAAGGGGAGGCTTTCATTTCGTTAAACTGACTACTTAGAGGCACGAGGAATGAAACCTTAACAGTGAAATGACAGCTAATTTCTAGAAGTCTTGCTGAAAAACCACCCTTAAACATGACAGATAAGAAAAAAATAAATCATGAACCCCATGACAGGAGGGGATAAATGCACCAAAGAGAAAGTTTTCGGTTAAAAAAAAAACAAAACAAAAAAAACCAACTTGGGTTCATAAAAGTTTTAAATGCACTCTGTATATAGCAGCTTAAACTCTTATTTTTAGACTTTGCTTTATTGATCCCTTTGAATTATGAAATCAAGGCTCATCATACCATAACTATATAAAAACATCAGTTCGATGATCTTCCTCGACAATGTTAAAATGCTCCAACCGCCAATGTATGTCTAAAATAACAAAAAATATGTGTGCAGAATTTTATCTTGTTAAATGGTCCCAACATAGGAAGGGTCAAACATCTTAGGGATGACATAACACTTTTAAAATCATCTGGAATAGCCATGTATACCAACCAACTTCTCCGACCTTCTAGGACCTTCCGTCGACATTTACTCCATCAGAGGGGCTGTGGGCACAAGTTCAGGCAGAAGACCGGCCTCCCCAGGAAGGACTGCCCACCCAGACCCCCACACAACCGGAGACCACAGAGTACCATCCACGGAGTCCATCCGTGCCAGGCCCTCCTCAGCCATGCCACTGTAAGTCAGGTGCAAGTTGGGGGAATAGGTTACGTGGGATGAGTCTGAGGCCATAGGGTTCTGGGGCTACCTTCCCATACCTCTCTCTTAGGAGCAATGCCTACATTTCTACAGGAGAGATGAACTGTACCCTCCATTCCAGGGCAAAAACTGTATTTTTCAAAGAGATTCGCAACAGAGAAGGTAATGTCCCAGGTGTGAAACATGAGATGCTAATCCCAGACCCGAGGCCCCGAGGTTTCTGCCCACTCCGTGCTGCGCCTGCGTGTGGGCGGTGGCGAGAGCAGTGACAGCTGCCCTTGGCCAGGCCTGGGAAGATACTCACTGTTTACGAACAACTGCATGTCTGTCTCGGTGGTTTTTTTTTGCTTCTTTTCTTTTCTCTTTTTTAACAACTTAATTCCCCATCCCTTTTAAACTCGGGAATGCATGTGCATAGCGTGCACGGGAAACACTGGAAATAGCAGGCAGTAGAACATGGGTGTTGATTCGAACTCCAGCTAAGAGTTGCGATGGACAGTGGCCCTCCCGATTTCTTTTCCAAAGGAACTCCTGGGAAATAAAAGATGCTCCCAGCAAATTAGCTGCCCAATTCCCCGAACAGAATTTCGCTTAGAAAGCACTTTCCTTCCCAATGAGCGCAGCTCACGACGGTGGGGATGGAGAGATTTGGAACAGCTAAAACGGTCAGGGGACGGGATGCAGATAATGACGATGTCACGTGTTGTATACTGTTATGAACTAAGAAATGGACACTAAAAGTGCATTGAGAACAGGACAAAACAAGCGGACTTTTAAAAACTGCTCTTATTATTTTTAGTCGGATGACGCGGAGGGCTTTGCTGGCGAGACACGCTGGTCCTCATAGCCCAGCGTTGACCGAGGGGCGTGAGAAGGAGGCCTGGAACTTGCCAGAAGGAAATAAAACCACAGGGGAAAGATGCCGCTGGGATCGGGCGGACCGTCTTTACGCTCTCACGTCCGGGTCACAGGACGACCCCACCCAGGGCACAGGGTCACTCGCGGATGACAACGTAGGTAGGCATACACAAGGAACCCACGGGGACACACATTCATTCCTCTCTCCAATGCAATTCATTGAAATTGCACCAAAAGGTTCGGCGGTTTCCTTCCTTCACGCATCCATGGCTGGTATGTTCTCTGAGGTCAGGAGGGAGGAGCCAGATTGCCCGCGTCACGCCACGCGGGGCTGTCGGAACCCAACGGATCCGCCCCCAGACGTCCCTGTGCACCCGGACCCGTGAACGTGCGGCTCATGGACATGAAGGTTCCTGAAGGTCGTTATTACCCTGAAGTTCAAGACCCCGCGCCGGCCTGGCCTGCGGAATCGCCGTCAACGCCTCCAGCGGCCGAGCGTGGGCAGTTCCCACGGGCTCCGTGTCCTCGGGGGCCGCTCCCTCCGTGCCCAGCGCCCTGAGCGCTCCCCGTGGGGGGGGGCAGACCTGCATGTGGGGGTGCAGGTGCACGGTGAGGGCCCACGCACAGCCGTCCCAGGAAGCATCTTCCGCTTTCAACCCCAGGACGGCTCAGAACCCCGGGCCTGAGATGCACAGAAGAACCACACGGCCGGCCTCCCACCGGCAGCGGCCTGGAGCCGCCACGTAGAAAACCCGCAGCGACTGCTTCTGGGTCAACGATGGCAACCCCCGGGGTGACCCGTCAGCCACCCTGCGGACCGTCACACGCCACCCGGGCAAGTCCAGGACATGTGTGATATCGGATGTGAAAACGGATGAGCAGTGATCAGTCTCCAGTTCTAGGTCCATGGGTACCAACACGAGAGTGTGGCCCGGCAAACCGTCCTTTTCCTCAGTAGTTTCACACATGAGGCCGGCGGGGGGACACCCCCCCTCCCCAGGATTGAAGGGAGGCCGCCCGGGCCCCGAGAATGGGCACGACCCCGAGCAGGCGCGGCCTGGGCCTTCCCTGCGGGGCGAGAACCGCCGCCGAGGACTCCTCCTCCGAAAGGCTCCGCGTCCGGGGCCGAGGACTCCCGTGGGGACGTCCCCCAGGCACCGTCTTGCCCGGGACCCTCTTGTCCCGGCGGTCACAGGCGTCCCTCGCGGCGGTCAGAGGCCGTTGCTGCTCCGGTGGCAGAGGGGCGGCTTGGAGAGCTCGAGGACGCCCCCTCGGGTCTTGTTGAGGAACTTGGGCGCCCGCCGCAGCAGCCGCTGGGCCTCGGTGAACGTCTCCGTCAGCTCCTTCTTCCACTGCACAAACTCGGGGTCACTCTGCAGGGAACGCAAATGTACGGGATGTGACAGCTGCGCCCCCCAGTGCCAACAGACGTGGGCATCGCTGGCAATGTCCCATGTCCCTACACTCCCCCCCGCCCCAAGGAACGCACCCTCGGCTTTCCTGCCCCCAGCGGCGTTGGTGTGGCTGGTGGGTCCTGCACAGACCTCCCCCCCGCCCCGCCTCCGTGCAGGGGGAGGAGCGCCCTACCAGCCCTGTCATGACCCCCACATTCACTGAGGACCCCCCCCCCCCCTACACACACACACACACACATCTACTGAGGACGCTAACAAAACAGCTCAGGTCTCAAATGGGCAGAGGCGCCGTTTTGACAGGCTTACCGCTCCTTCCCCATGGGGTGATGAATTCAACACACGTTCGTATCGACGAAAAAGGTAGTACTCAAAGCTCACCTCGCATTGCAAGACAAACTGCTTCCCGCCTTTTATCCTCAACAAAATGCATTTCTTGTCTTTAAACAGCGTTTCTTCCACAGACACAATCTGCTCCATGGTCAGTAAGTTTTGCTGGTCATAAAAATAAAAAAATAAAAAAAAAAACGACCGATCACTTCACGCCGTGCGTGACTTCTGAAGCTAAATGACCCACGAGCACCGGAAACGACCCACGTGGGAAAAGTAAACGGACAAAAACCTGGCGTCGGCCATTCTTTGCCGATGTTCTATAGGAGTGGGGGAGATGGCTCCAAAGGAACCTACACCAAAGTGCAGACTACGCCATCTCAAAAGCAAACAAACAGATAAACCTGCAAAGGAAGGGATGTCTCTGAGGCCCAGGAGCAAAGCTTTCCCTCCACGCAGGACTGATGTCTGAAGTGACTGGGAGCCACGTACTTTTTGCACCACACACTCATCTAGGCGCCACCAGTGAAGCCGGGAGGGGACACGGGGGCGCCGAGGGCGGTTGACAGGAGCCGGGGTGTGAGGCGGAGTCTCCACACAGCAGCTCGGTAAAATGCCTGGCGAGGCAAGCTTGTCGGCTGACGCTATTTCGATCACGCCCAGGTGATGTCATAAACACGGGCGACATCCTTAAAGGGGTGTCCCGCACGCTGGGTCTACAGCAGGATTGCTTAGGGTGAATGCTATGGCGTCCCGAGGACCTTACCATTTTATGTTTTTTTTGGATAAATACTCCGGGAGCCCTAAACGAGAAACACCACCATCATAAACGCGCACGTTTGCTTTTTCCTCAGGGGTACCTACGAATCCAAGCAGCTTCTCAAATGGGCCATTAAACATTGACTCTTTTTATTGCATACTAGAGGCAGGGTGCACAAGATTCGTGTATATGGGTAGGGTCCCAAGGCCTGGCCAGCGATCGGGGCCAATCAGGGCCTTCCCTCCACGGCTACTAGCCAGGGCCTTCCTTCATTCCGTGCCGCCCTCTGCTGGTCAGCACATGTCATAGTGAGCGAATGAACTCCCGGTCTCCAGGTCGAATTCCCAAAGGGACACTTTGCATGTTAGCCTTTTATATACATATCTATATCTATATCTATCTACATCTACATCTACATCTACATCTACATCTACATCTATATCTATATCTATATCTATATCTATATCTACATCTATATAATTAGAGGTCTGGTGCATGACATTCGTGCACTTGGGGGTCCCCTCAGCCTGGTGTGTGCTTGTTAGCAGTCCAGGAGCCCTCGGGGGGTGTCTGACTGATGGCTTAGGCCCGCTCCCCCCAGTTGGACATCCTTAATGCTGCTGCGGAGACGGGAGAAGCTCCAGGGTTTCTGGCTGAGCGGCTTCCCCTGTGGGAGCGCACTGACCACCAGGGGGCGGCGGCTCCTGGGTTGAGCATCTGCCCCCTGGTGGTCAGTGAGCGTCATAGCAACCATTCCTCCCGCCATTCAGTCTATTTGCGTATTAGCCTTTTATTACATAGGATAATAATATAAAGAAGATTCCTGGTGTTAAACAAAGGAAGTTGTTTTAGTTTTTTAATTTTCAAATATTCTGAAAAGCGGGACAATTTCCTGTCTGCCGTGCACCTCACAGAACAGCACACTCTGTTTTCTGATGTCACAAAATCCTTCCTTGACTGGGGGAAGTCTAAAAGTCACAGTCTGAACATCAAAACCGCACGCACGCACGCACACAAGTTAGAACAGGTGCACAGCGCTTCGGGGGTTGTTTTTACAAAACGTGTCCTCGCTATGCAATAACCGCGGGCTCTCCACTCAACGTAACGACAGAAATCGCTTGATAACGGGCGCCAGACTTACCCGGGACTCCCCCTCTCCTCTCCATTCAAGTCTGTTGGGAAAGAGGTAAAAATAGCGACGCTGCCACTGAGTCAGGAACGGGTTCCCCAGCTTCAGCATGTACCCGTGCATGATGCAGTCCTTCCCCAGAGCGTAATCTGAGGAACAGAAAGTCACTGTAAGTTAAATGGGGTCTGGAACAGAATGTCTTCATGCAGGCGCGCCTGGGGAAAAGAGAAGTACACGCTTCCCGGGAAAAATCAACTTTCTAGCAATATACGACATTACAGAAATCATTATTTCTTGCTCAACATTTTAAAATTAAAGTGATTGGGGGGAAACTGGTTAATAAAATGATACAGGTTTCACGTGCAGACCTGTACGTCACCCGAAGTCAGATTTTTTGTGTTGACCACCCGAAGTCAGATTTCCGTCCGTCACCGTGTATCTGACCCCTTTTACCCTCGCCCGCCTCCCCTCAGAGCGGTCCCACTCTGGTAACCACCACCCTGTGGTCTGTGTCTCTGTGCTTTTGCTGGTTTGTCTTGTCTGTTCATTTGTTGCAGAAATTATTATTTCAGTCTTTAAACCATGGGGACTGGGAATTGAAAAAAAAATAAATAAATAAGAGGTTTCTTTCACTCTTTTCCTACTGACATTAAATAGTTGCTTCTCAACTTCCTGATAAATCCACAGTGGTCACTTAGTGCTCTGAGAGGGCCAAAGTATGTTCTCAAATGACTTTTTCATCTATAATAAAAGTGTAATATGCTAATTAGACTGGACATCCGACAGATCCAGGCAGCCAGCCCGCACCTGTCGGGGCCTACTCTTGCATAAATTTCGTGCGTTGGGCCTCTAGCTATAGATATAAAAAGAGAACGGAAGAACAGAGAGTGAATGAATGCAAGCCCCAAGTTCCTTTGCCTCTATGTGGGACTGGGCCTCTCCCTTACTCCTGCTTTTTATTTTTTATATAATAACCGAGTGGGGATGTCCACGCCTGACAAAGCCAACGTAACCCAAGGATCAAAACTGTTTATTCCTTGACCTGAGGTTATAGTTATCCCTCAAATACATGGCTATGTAGAGAGACCAAGCTCATTCACACTCAGCTTGATGAGTCCTTGTGACCTTTGATAGGGAAGTATTGTCTCTTAAAACAACAAAAACACGTTCGTTTTAAGTGGCTTGCTTCGCCTTCGTGAAAAGCTTGGGCGATTGGGCTAAAAATCACTCATTCCCTCTCTCATTCAACAAGATTCAGTGAGTCCGAAACCGGTTTGGCTCAGTGGATAGAGCGTCAGCCTGCGGACTGAAAGGTCCCGGGTTCGATTCCGGTCAAGGGCATGTACCTTGGTTGCGGGCACATTCCCAGTAGGGAGTGTGCAGGAGGCAGCTGGTCGATGTTTCTCTCTCATCGATGTTTCTAACTGTCTATCCCTCCCTCTTCCTCTCTGTAATAAAATCAATAAAATAAAAAAAATAAATAAAAAAAGATTGAGCAGCCAGGTGCTGAGCATGCTCCAGGCATCGAGGACTGGGCGGTGAGCAGCAGACATGTGGGGGGCGGGGGGGGGGAGAGACACGGAGCCGTCTCACCTTCCTCGTGGCCCAGCTGCTTGTTCTTGGCCCTCTTCCGGGCCTCGGCCTTGTCCGTGTCCGCGTTCACCGTGTCGTAGATGGTCTCCACCACCTCCTGCTGCCAGCGCTCGGAGATGACCAGCGGGAAGTTCTTGTACAGCTCCTGGTCGCAGTCCAGGAGCTGCGGGGGCGACAGAGCGACACGTGGATGGGCGCCCCGGCTTACCAAGGCGAGCAGCGTGGGGACGGGGCCGCACGATGGCACACGGTCCCTTAGGACAGGTTCTCGAGGGTGACACAGCCCTAAGGCCCACCCAGCCGCCGGCACCCACAAAGGACTGCCACCGGCGAGCACACCCCCCCCCTCCCAACTCCCAGGTCAGGTGGCTTCGCCCCCAATTTTCTTAGCAACGTTCGCTGCCATTTTGCTGATGAAGGCCAACACATGTGTGTATGCAGGCATGTATCTGGAGTATTTAAAAGGTTTTTGACAACAAAACAAAATTTCCATTGCGGTGAGGATATTCGATTCTGCATGGAAAATAGACTCCTATCGTGTTTAGAAACATCGAAAAGGGAGAAGCAGGGCCCTGACCGGTGTGGCTTTGTGGAGAGAGCGTCGGCCTGCGGACTCGAGGGTCCCAAGTTCGATTCCGGTCACGGGCATGTACCTTGGTTGTGGGCACATCCCCAAGTAGGGGGTGTGCAGGAGGCAGCTGGTGGATGTGAAAACGGATCTAAAAGCAGGCAGCCGAGAGGAGACCAGGAGCATCCAGGAGGGAAGTGCAGTCCTGGGGGAAGTGGGGACAGTGGGGCTGGGGAGCAGAGACTGCACCCCAACAAGAGTGACTCACCGTCCGCAAGGACCGCCTGTCTATGGGAAAATGGTGATACGAACAAAAGTTTGAAAAATGCCGAGGATTACATTTAAAAAAAAAAACAGTGATCGCTTCCCTCTGGATTGACAGATGCGACAGGACGCACGCGGTTCGCGCCTTTCCTCCCGGCACAGAGGAGAGAGACTAAGGCAGGAGAATCGCGCCAATGCTGGCGGGAACGCTGATTCTAATTCCCGTGTGACGGGCTCCGGGGCGCGGGAGGCAGGCTTGCTTTCTTCGCACGGTTGCTTTTCCTGCTTCCCACACGTTGGAATTTTATCTCCACCACAGATCCACCCGGATCGGTGAGAGTCTGACCGTTCTGCAGTTCACCAAACGTAGAGCGATTCTCCCCAAAGGAGCCTGCAGAGCCTCTCCCTCATTTAAGCCCTGGACTTCCGCGGCCTGCCCATGTGCAGCTGGCCCTTGGCAGGCGACACCCCGATGGGGCCGATACGGACAGGACCACGGCGTCTGGTTTCTGATGAGAACGCCCCCCCCCCCCTTCCCTCCGACACCACGGGGGCCAGCGGCCCGCGAGCACCTTGATGCCTTTGGTGTCCTCCTCGTCGAAGGAGCCGATGTCGAAGGCGTCGGCCGCATTCACCTCTCCGCGGGGCGGGATCATGGGCGGCGGGTACTGCAGGGCCCAGAGGAGGGAGGTCAGGAGCCAGACGCCCCGACGGCCCCCCGCCCCACCACCATCCCGGAGGGAGAACGCGGCGTCCGGGTCACGCAGAGCACGTGACAGGTTCCACGGAGGGGCTTCTGCCCTGAGTGGCCCCCAAGGCAGGCCTCAGACCTCAGACAAATGGAAGGGGGAAAACACACCCGTGTCCACGTACGTCTTAAAAAAAAATAATTATTATACGTAATGGAGGCTCAAGACTGCACATCCTCCCAGCTCCACGTTAAGAAAGCACGTTCTCGCCGAAACCGGTGTGGCTCAGTGGGATAGAGCCTCGGCCTGCGGACTCAAGGGTCCCGTGTTCGATTCCGGTCAAGGGCATGTGCCTTGGTTGCGGGCACATCCCCGGTAGGGGGTGTGCAGGAGGCAGCTGATGGATGATTCTCTCTCATCGATGTTTCTAACACTCTATCCCTCTCCTTCCTCTCTGTAAAAAAAAAATCAATGAAATATATTAAAAAGGAAAAAAAAAAAAAAAGAAGCATGTTTTATCAGGGGGTAGGGGCCACATTGCAATTGCTGGCAGACAGAGCACCCACACCACACAGTCCTGTGGCTGATTTTAAGGTAACGGGAGTCTGAGCCCTAATTCTGCAAAAAAAAGTCCAAAGCTGATCATCAACATTAAAAAAATAATAAAAATTAAAAAAAAAAAAAACCTTCAACGTAGAGTGTTTTTCTCTATCAGTGAGACTATAAAAATATCTTTTAAAAAGATATGGGAATTATGCCTATATACAACCACACGAATTCTTAAGTTATGTGGTTGGTACTGGGCTAGAAAGTGTGTGTAAGTTTACGATGAATGTTTCCTGTAGCATTTTTACCTCAAAAAATATAAAAATATAAAAACGTCTCATGCATTGAGATAAAAAGCCAAGAGGATGAGCTACAGCTGAAAAGCCTCAATCCTGTGGGCCATTTGAACGAGCCTCATGTCCGCTCCGTGTCGCCACTGTGTGCAGAAGATGTTCTGAAAACGTCTAAACCCCGAGGAGCGAGGCAGCCATCCAGCCACCATCGGGTGGAAGAGCAAGAAGGACTCTGTGGACGGAAGCTGGGGGTGGGGATGGATCGGGGGGCAGCCCTGGGGCCAGAGCCAGGAAGCAGAGGCGGGGAGCACCCGGGCACCCAGGACAGGGTCCCCGGGGTGTACCTTCTGTAAGTAGACCTGCTGCCAGTCGATGCCCCGGAAGAAGCTGTGCTCCTTCACCTCCTGCGACCTGTAGCGGAGAGGCCGGGACAGTGGTGAGCGCGCACTGACAGGTCCAGGAAATAGTCTGCAAAAACGCTCTCCTGTGAGGGACACAGAGGAGCGCCTATTTCCTGTTCCTGGAGCAAGCAAGGAAAAGAGACTCTTCCAAAGCAACACGGGACACGTGGCGGCGACGCTTAGCAGCATGGCTCCCCACGCCCCGCTGGTGTGGCCCGGGGGTGTGGCTCAGGGGCTGAGCGTCGACCCACGAACCAGGAGGTCAGGGCACATGCCCGGGTTGTGCGCTCGACCCCCAATAGGGGGCATGCAGGAGGCAGCCATCAATGTTTCACTCTCATATCTTTGTTTCTTTCTCTCTCTCTCTTTCTCTCTCTCTCTCTCTCTTTCTAAAAACCACCAGTAAGTCTAAACCAGTTTGGCTCGTGGATAGAGCCTGGGCCTGCAGACTGAAGGGTCCCAGGTTCGATTCCGGTCAAAGGCATGCACCTTGGTTGCGGGCACATCCCCGGTAGGGGGTGTGCAGGAGGCAGCTGATCAATGTTTCTCTCTCATTGAGGTTTCAAACTCTCTATCCCTCTCCCTTCCTCTCTGTAAAAAAAAAAAAATCAATAAACTATATTTAAAATAAAAACCACCAGCAAAAAAAAAAAACTTTTTAAAAAAGCTGGTGACTCCTTCCGCTTGTTGATTACAGAACACACGAGACAACATACAAACTTCCCATGTGATCCCCGGCCCCCGCCCGCCCCCTGCTGGAACCGAAGCGGAAGACGTTCACGGACACGGAAAGGACATGTGGAAAGGGAGTGTTTCCTGCCCGCGGGGAGAGCCCACAGGCGAGGCCCGCCTACCCGCGGCCGTGACAGCCCAGCCGGAGGCTCACTTCCCGCTGCAGCAAGCCCTCCAGCAGGGCCCTCAGCTCCGGGGAGAAGGTGTCGGGCAGCTCCACGTCCTGGGGGGGGAGGGGAGAAGGGGGAGACACGAGAACACCATTTCAAAGGCGCCTTCACGGAAAAGGTGCCCCGCACCCGCCCAGGCTGAGAGACCGCCTCCTGGTGGTCAGTGCTCAAAATGACACATTCACCACCGGTTCCTGTTCCCTCTACAGAAACACCTAACGGGTATCCATCACCCCCCTCCCCAAAGCCAATCAGAGAAGAACCCGAAAGTCTCCCCTCTTCCGGCATCTCCGGCACTGTCCCTCCTTTACTTGGTTTCTTTGGTTTCCCTCTTGATGTCCTCTGTCTTTTTCTTTCTAATGGGTTAGCAGATCTTGATTTCTCTGCCTTACCATCTACTCCCGCTATTTTTTTTTTTTTAAATCTTTTGAGGTTCTTCTCGGGATTGTCTCTCCGCGTATGTACGTTAAGAAAGCAGTAACATCGCCGAAACCGGTCTGGCTCAACGGCTAGAGCGTCGGCCTGTGGACTGAAAGGTCCCGGGTTCGATTCCGGTCAAGGGCATGTGCCTTGGTTGCGGGCACATCCCCAGTAGGGGGTGTGCAAGAGGCAGCTGATCGATGACTCTCTCTCCTCCATGTTTCTAACTCTCTATCTCTCTCCCTTCCTCTCTGTACACAAAATCAATAAAATATATTAAAGAAAGGAAAAAGAGAAAGCGGTAACATTGCACGTGGGTTGCAAAGGGAACGCGAAGTGGAACAAACACAGGGTGGTCGCCCGTCTCCTTACCGCGGTGAGGGTCATCCGGTCGATTTCGTGCTTATCTTTGGTTTTGTGCTGCCTGAAGGGGCTGTGGCTGCAGGAAGAAAGGACACTCCGTTACCGTGCGGCATGAGCCAGCGTAGCACATGGCACTGACCTCCATGCGGTAAGGCACTGTGCTCTGTCACTGCTTATTCGAAACTACAGGCGTACGAAAGCCATCGACATCAATCATTTTTCAAAGGAAAAGCTGGGGGTCAGACAGGGCGGCCCCGGAACAGGGGCTTAGTTAGGTATGTTGATCTGCTCGGCCTGACCCTCTCGGTCTGGACATCCTACCGAATTCGTGAAGCCCTGCCCTCTGATGAGATTACTCCTCTTCAGAGCATTTATTACCTGAAGTATTTTAATTCCCATTTTGTACAACAGAGGGCACTCTCACACCTTATTTTTTTTTTTTTTTCTTCTCATCACGCAAATGAAATACAAAGTCATGGCCATCTCTTAAACGCCCTGATTTGAAAAAATACATATTAACAAGGAGACTCAGTACCGCGCAGATTGGAAGTGCTTTTGAGGATCAAGTAGGATATAACAGCAGACAGCACTGCTTTGTTACTTGTAAGAGAGTCTAACGTTAAAAAAAACAACACTGGCTTCCTTTCTCTATGCAAAATGCAGGGAGCTGTGGGCACGTTCATGGTTCGAAAGGAAAGGAACAAAGTGTGTTATTTTTTAAAAAATATATTTTATTGATTTTTTTTACAGAGAGGAAGGGAGAGGGAGAGAGAGCTAGAAACATCGATGAGAGAGAGACATCGACCAGCTGCCTTCTGCACCGCAACCAATGTACAAGCCCTTGACCGGAATCGAACCTGGGACCCTTCAGTCCGCAGACCGACGCTCTATACACTGAGCCAAACCGGTTTCGGCCAGAGTGTATTGGTGCCCTGCGCTAAGTTTAAAAACCTTCCATGGGGCCGGAGGGAGGCCAGAGCTGGCGAGCGCCAGGAACATGTCGGGCAGCGGCCCCCCACCCCCCAGCCCACGTTATAAATCGAGGCCGTCCATGTCCCGCCGGAGGGAGGGGACGGAGTCGCCGCTCTTCAGCTCTGGGCTGGGAGACGCGGGTCTTTCAAGCCAAGAGCCTGGTGCACACCTGCTTCCGACATGTTCCTGATTGTCCTTTGTGAACAAAACCGAAGACTCGGTTTTTTTGTTTTTGTTTTTGTTTTTTGGAGAATTTTTAAAAATATATATTTTATTGATTTTGTACAGAGAGGAAGCGAGAGAGATAGAGAGTTAGAAAATTCGATGAGTCATCGATCAGCTGCCTCTTGCACGCCCCGAAATCGAACCCAGGTCCCTTCAGTCCCCAAGCCGACGCTCTATCCATGGAGCCAAACCGGTTTCAGCTATTTTGGAGGATCTTAAAGAAAAGCCCCAAACAGCAGCCATCTCCATGTGGTGCTCCCAGATCCTGGGGGATCACGGCTGCTCCCCGACGCTTCCCCCTCCCCCCCCACGGCACAGCAATACCACCCCCCCCCCCTGCACCAGGGAGCCTGATGGGAACCATCACAGGCAGCGGTGAGTCACAGACTGAATGAGAGCGCTGCAGTCCCTCCCCAGGAGAGAGGAAATCACTCAGAATGTGATACATGCTGGCTCCATCGCCAGACACACACCCCCGTCATCGCAGTGAAACAGCGGGCTCGAAAACACGGTGAGTGATCAACACCTCTTAGACTGAACATTAACTTTAAAATGCCACAGGGAGGGTGGCGGGCGCCTTGTTTTCTCCACGCGGAACCACCTGGACAACCTCAGGAAGAGCTCAGCTCTCCCCGGGGCTCCCTCCCGCGTCTGTCACCTTCGGGGCAGTCAATGGGGACAAGCGTAAGATCAGGCGACAGGGCTATTCTTTTCCCCCCCGGAGACACCTGAAACGCAGACTGGGGACCATGACGGCGATTCCACATGCGCATTTGGCACTGGAGCGGCTTTGCAGTTGTTCATCACCCAGGACTTCCTGTCCGTGTGCGTTCTGCATCGCTCGCCTCCTCCCGGCAAAGACGCTGGCAGGCGGCAGGCGTCCCCCCCCCCCCCCCCCCCCGGCACGCCGACTCCGAGGGGTGGCGGCTCGCTCTGGTCAGCCTGGCAGAAGCTCCCTAATCAGGTCAGCTAGTCTGATGAGGGGCATTAAGCCCGTCCAGGCTCCGCAAACACAGTAATCCAATTCAGGACGGACAGGACCTGCCTCTCCGGGCAATAATGCGATTTCGGTGCCCAAGCGGACAGGGGGAGCGGAGAGCAGCCGCATCGGCCGAGTCCTGGGGGCTCAGGACGGACGGCGGGGCCAGCCCCCTCCCGATGTGCTGACGGGAAGATGATGGGTGGGGCTGGAGGGGGCTGTCCACTGGGACCGTGAGAAAGGCAGCCGGTCCCAGCCTCGCGGGCCCACCAGGGGAACGTCCACGGGAGGGTCTGCACTGGGATTTTTTCACATCAAGCACTTTCTGTCTCTTTGTGAACGAAGAAAAATAGCAAGAACCTACAACCAAGATTACTCTACCCAGCAAAGCTATCCCTCGGAATTGAAGGCCAGATAAAGAGCTTCACAAAAAAAAAAAAAAAAAAAAAAAAAGCTAAAGAAGTTCATCACCACCAAACCAGAATGATACGAAATGCTGAAAAGTATTCTTTAAGAAGAGGAAGATAAAGATAAGAATGATGAACAACAAATGCATAACTATCAACAAGGGAATCTTAAAAACCAAAGGAATTAAAAAAAATCTGATGAACAGTATTAACTGGTGAATATAATAGAACCTGGGACCCCTAAGTCCCCAGGCAGAGGCTCTATCCACGGAGCCAAACCGGTTAGAGCTTATTATTCATTTTGTTTTTCTTTCAAAGCAGTCTTATTTCAGATTTAAGGCTGCTGTAACTCCTACAGGATATGGAATGAAAACACCACCCTGCCAGCTTTCTCCTGGAATCGTACGGGCACAGAGCTCTCGCCGTCAGCAGGCAGAGCGCGCCACGGCCCTCACTTAGATCAGCGCCTGGCTTACAGGTCCCGGTGGGACCCCGAGTAGCATCAGGGCCGGAGGACGGCTCACAGCCTTGACCGTGACCCCAGCACAGGCCCCACGGACTCACTCACCCCCTGAGAAGCTTGAAGAGCATGCAGCCCAGCGAGAACCAGTCGGCGCTGCTGTCGTAGGCCGTCCCCTTCTGCAGCACCTCGGGGGCCATGTACCCGTGCGTGCCCCTGTGGGGGGGGAGGGAGAAGGAAAGGGGGGCGCGTTAGCAGAACACGGGCACCTCACACAATGTGAACGGTGAAGGGCTCATCGATCGGCAGCAGCTGTGAGCAAGGGCGGGGACGATGGAGCCTCTGCACAGACATGACCCATCCGACAGCCAGCAAGCTTTTCTGTCTTAACCGGTAAAGGAGCGAATCTCAACGGATGACCCTCCGGAATCCATGTGAAGACTAGTCCTCGGCTGAGGAGGCAATCTCTGAGGCCAGTCAGCCCCGCCTCCTCTGGGACAGCTATGGGGAGCGGAGGGTCTCCTGCAGACCGACCAACCGACCGACCGACCGACAGTGAGCTCCTGCGAGGAGCCCGGTGGGACAGGCCACCGCGCCGCAGTGCCGTGCACTTTGAAGAGGTGGGCACGCCCACTCCCTCGGACCCGCATCGCCCAGGCTGAGGTGGGGCTGCTTCCTGGGAGAGGCATCCCAACACCCCGCGCGGGGACAGGTGACAGTGCAGATCGCCCCTGGAGGTGGAGGCACAGGGTTCATTTTAAAAGTCACGTCCCTCTTACATAGAATCGTACAGAACAGTCAGACAGACGGGACTGTAGTTGTGGCCTCCGGATGTGCCAGATGGGCGCCCTGGTTTTTCTACCACAGAAAGTAGATCATATGTCCAGGGTGCCCTGGGGGGCCAGGTGCGGCGGCGGAGGCTGAGGGGTCAGGCTGCGTGGACACTTGGAGGACTGACTCACGTTACAAAGCTTGAACTGCAAGTAGGTAGATGTTTTGGTTTTTAATTTTTAAAAATATTCCTGATTTCTCTTCAGGAAAAAAACAACAACAGTTATTTTTGAAAAGGAAGGAACAGATGGGCCAGGAGAAAAACTTAACCCTAGCCTTCCTGGGAGAGCTCTCCGTCCCGCTGCCTCTGCCCTTGGCCCACGGACTCCTTCACGTCTCCTTATCACAACCTTCAGAGGCTTGTTCTTGAGCGTCGACTTGTGAACCAGGAGGTCACGGTTCCATTCCCGGTCGGGGCACATGCCCGGGTTGCGGGCTTGATCCCCAGTGTGGGGCGCGCAGGAGGCAGCCCATCTCTCTCATCCATGTGTCTATTCTCTCTCTCCCTCTCCCTTCCTCTCTGAATTCAATAAAAATATATTAAAAATAAATAAAATAAAATCACAGCTGGCGAGAAAGAAACGGGGAAGGAGTGTGCGTGGACGATAACGCGTGGCCAGGGCGGGGCCGAGGGGACCAGCGGGCGCCGTGGGGCAATGACAGGGCACCGAGGCCAGGCGCTACTCACACGCTGGCGTGCGGCTTCTTTTTGGAGAAATCACAGGCCAGGCCGAGATCTGATATCCGGACGTGTCCGTACTCATCCAGGAGGATATTTGCGGGCTGGAGAGAGAGAGAGAAGGTGATCTCCGAGAGAGAGTTCCCCGGGTGCCCGGAGGCTCTGAGGACGTCTATCTGAAACTACAGGCACGGCCGAAGTCAGTTTGGCTCAGCGGTAGAGCGTCGATCTGCAGACTGAAAGGTCCCGGGTTCGATTCCGGGCAAGGGCATGTACCTTGGTTGCGGGCACATCCCCGGTAGGGGGTGTGCAAGAGGCAGCTGGTCAATGTTTCTCTCTCATCAATGTTTCTAACTCTTTATCTGTCTCCCTTCCTCTCTGTAAAAATTCAATAAAATATATTTTCTTAAAAAAATAAAAAATAAAGAGCTTGCTCCAGCTGGGACACCGTGCCTCTGTGAATCCTAACGATTTCTGAGAAGAAGGCCCTGAGGCACAGAACACTGAGGAATCTTGCAAGATGGTTGGCGCTGACCTAAGAGAGCCAAGGACTCCATCAAGAGCCACGCGGGTCCCCATCAGTCATGTCTGTTGACCTGTGCCCGCCCGATCCACCAAATGACCAAATGTAATTCTGACCGCAGCCCCCGATGACGTGCAGCCAGGGGGATTAGATTTGGTCAGCCTAATCACGGAAAACAAAGCTCCTCTCCCCGATACACATCCAATTACAGTCGTCCTAATCGCCCTGTGCTGGAGATCACCATTGTTTCGCTTGAAACAAAAAAATGATGGCGTGCCATTATAAAAGCGGAGCATGAATAATCATGAGTGACGAAGAATGAAGTTGGAACAGAAATGAAATAATACCGCGGCCTACTAAACAGCTTTGGAAAACAAAACCACGGCAGAGAGGCATTTCGAAGTCGGTTGCGGATTGCAAATGAAGATGCATGACAGCAGCGCCTCCTAGATCTTCGGCATGCATCTCATTCGTCTGCAAAACTCACAAGAGGAAAGAAAATGTCACGTGCCAGCCAGAGTCTCATTATGTCTAATATGATGAAAACAGTATTTTTTTTTCTTATGCTCTTGTAAAAATTAAGAGAATAATTTATTCACGTTGAAGAAAGTTAAAAAAAAATGGCACGATCCCTGCTGGGTATGGATCCCACAACCCGGGCACATGCCTTGACTGGGAATCGATCTGATGACCTCTCGGTTCTTGGGATGATGCTCAACCACTGAGCCACACTGGCCGGGCACCAGTGAGATTTTTTTTTTTTTTTTTTTAAGAAAACAAGAACAGAAGCCCAAGCATAGCACGCTGGAGGTTCTGTAGCTCAGGGAGGGATCTAGAACAAACAATCTATCCACCCGTGGTTTTTAAGGTGACCTCGGGACGTGAACTTCCCTGCCCGGTGACCGGTGACCGGCCGAGCGGCTCACCTTCAGGTCCCGGTACACCACGAAGCGGTGGTGCATGTGCTCCAGCCCCAGGATGATCTCGGTGGCGTAGAAGCGCATCTCCTTCTCGGAGAACACCCCGTGCTGGGACAGGTGGTAGTGCAGATCGCCCCCTGCAGGCGGAGGCACAGGGTTTATTTCCAAAGTCCCTGAGCTCTTACAGAGGAGGCACCCTTTGGTATCTGATGGTCACATGCATAGAACTTGGGCCGCTGTGCCTGGCTTCTTTTGTCCGTTGCTACGTCTGTGAGTTCGTTATTATGTCTGGGGCATTCCTTCATGTCTTAAACCAAACACTCAATTCAAAAATAAAGCATCCGGGGAACTTCAGAAAAGGGCACTTTACTTGTGGAATTGCGTGCCCTTTTTATTTCAGCTCATGACCAAAAAGGCTTTCAGTCCATCCCGTGTCTCTTTCTGGCATCAGAAGCCATTTTTCTGCCTAAACCTTGTTCGCCCATCCTAAAGGTCATCTATTCATTCACAGTTTAAAGGGCCAGCTGATCTGGGCTAAAGGCACAGAAATCGGGCAAACATCCTTCCAGGTTGGGTTTTAAATTCATCTAACCTACATTCTCAGGAGTCATTTCATTCCTAAGAGTCGGGAGTCAGGAAACAAGCTAGTGAAAGGCGTCCCAGAAAATCACGTTTCGCTTGGGACTATTTTATGAAAATCTGGGAGTATTTTTATGAAAATCTCTTCTAAGGAAATGCAATTTCCAGGGAAAGACGGGGAGGGGCAGAGGGAAACCCAGGCCGGCATTTTAAATGAATTTTAATGAGGCTGAAGGGAGAATGGCTGCTCCCTCTTCAGGGGCAAACTACAGACCTAAAGACCCAGCCAGCCTGCCCGTGGGCGGGGCCACGGTCGCGTCCTTCCGGGAGCCCGGCCGCGCGGGCCTCGCTTACCGTTCATCAGGTCCAAGATGAAGCAGAGTTTGTCTGGAGTATGGAAGGCGTAGGTCATACAGACGATGAAAGGACAATCCTAGAACGAGGTGGGGGGGGGGGGGGAAGAAAGAACAAAACATGAAAATGTGTGAGAAAAGCAAAAGCTTTCCTGAAAAGCACAGGTGCTGCCAAACACAGGCTGCAGATTTTGTTCTGAATCCTCGCCCGCAGAGTGAGGACCATTTTCCCACTGCTTTTTAGAGAGAGTGGTAGGGAGGGGGGGGGGGGGAGTGGAGGAGAGAGAGAGAGAGAAACATCGATGGTGGCAGAGACACATGGATCAGTTGCTTCCTACGACCGTGTGCAGGGACCCAGACGAATGAATGTCACACGCAACACTGAGCGAGGGGAGCCGGACCTAAGAGGGAGCGTTTATAGAAAGATCGATCGTGGGCAGAGCTGAATTACGGCGTTCGAGGAGTCTGGGTGGCAGTTAGCTGGGCGTGGGGGCGAGTGGCTGAGAGGGGCACGCAGAGGCCTCGGGGACACTGGTGACTCTGTATCCTGCGATCTGGGCGCTGGACACACACGTGGGCTCCCCGGGGAGAGGTCATGGGCACTGTGCCAGATGGACAGCCAGGTCTGTGTAGATAGATCCCTTATGTACAGGGAATGCTCCCCCCTCCAGTGATTCAAATTAAAAAAAAAAAACGGCATAGACCAGTGGTCGGCAGACTCATGAGTCAACAGAGCCAAGTATCAAAAGGAAATGGTTTTGGAGAGCCGAAAATCAACGTCTGCGGATGGGCCATGAAGTTTCGAGGGCGGAAAGAATAACCGGCTGAGCGTTAAGGGACTGTGGAACGAAGGGGCTAACTGCCCTTCCCAGCAGGGGGCGTCCTTATCCTGCATCTCCCACATGCCTTCCCTGGTTACGAGGCAAGAATGACACAAGATGCCGAAACCGGTTTGGCTCAGTGGATAGAGGGTCGGCCTGGGAACTGAAAGATCCCGGGTTCGATTCCGGTCAAGGGCATGTGCCTTGGTTGCGGGCACATATTTTATGGATTTTTTTACAGAGTGGAAGAGAGGGATAGAGAGAAACATCGATGAGAGAGAGTCATCGATCAGCTGCCTCTTGCACACCTTCTACTGGGGATATGCCCGCAACCAAGGTACATGCCCTTGACCAGAATCGAACCCGGGACCTTTCAGTCCCCAGGCCGATGCTCTATCCATTGAGCCAAACCGGTTTCGGCAAATATATATATATATATATATATATATATATATATTTTTTTTTTTTTTTTTTTTTTTTTTTTTAAGAATTACACAAGAACACTGGCAACGGTACTTCCTGCTGTCTCTGGGGGATGAGAGGTGGACTACTCCCTTTGAGATGGAAAGAAAGAAAAAAAAAAATTAAGTGAGCGCAGTTCCGTCTCCTACCAGCATTAGAGCGTCATGCTGATTGAGAGTTCACCCTAAGGAGGCTACTTAAACTGAAGATCACTCCAAGCCTATGAATGGCGGCCTCTGATTAGCAAAGGCAATGAAGCAGTGCCAACAATTTTACTGCACGTCTTCTGGTGAAGTTTTATATTTATTTGTAAAAAAAAAAAAAAAAAGAAAAGAAAAATCTAGACAGTTTGCTATTGGAATACAAAATATAAACAATTATTTTAAATTAGTTCAAAGCGGCAGCCCAATAAAAGCCCAGTTTTTTATTTACTGCCTTAGATGGGGGGGAGACTGGCGAGGAACTACACAACTAATTACCCACATTCCCCCTCGGCCGAATAAAATGAATATGAAATCGCTACAGGAAAATCATAGGAGAGCACGCGTTAAAAAATTAATGCTTTAATAAGCTCTGGAACTCCGCAGTGAGCGCACGTCCACGTGTGGGATTTAAGACAAAGACTTTTCGCCCTGACCGTTTTTTGGCTCAGTGGATGGAGTGTCGGCCTGTGGACTCAAGGGTCCCGGGTTCGGTTCCGGTCAAGGGCATGTACCTTGGTTGCGGGCACATCCCCAGTGGGGATTGTGCAGGAGGCAGCTGATCCATGTTTCTCACTCTCTATCCCTCTCCCTTCTTCTCTGTAAAAAAAAAAAAAAAAAAAAAAATCAATAAAATATATTAAAAATATAAATATTTAAGACAAAGACTTTTCCAAGAGAAATGAGGAGCCGGAAGCATGCCTACGGATCCTGCTGCAGGGAGTGGGCCACGCCAGGCGGCTGTGGACACGGCTGTGCACACAGGGAGGCGGATGAGAAATGCTCACCGTCCATGTGCCGGGCAGTAGCGGCACACAGCTCTGTGTGGGCATGGCGTTTCCACTTGTTGGAATGGAGCAGAGAGCCCTTCCAGAACCGCTCAGACGGATGCCAGAACAACAGCGACCACAATGGGGGAGACACAGGATAAAAACCCAAACCACGGGGCCCCTTGAGTGCTGGTGGGAGAGGAACCCGGAAGGGCTCCTGGGAGGCCACAGCCTCCTGGGGAGGAAATTCACCTGGGTCTCTGCTTCCTGGCTGACAAGGTGAGAGGGGTTCATTGATGAATCAGTAAAACGTGGCATGTCTCGTGGTGTGCAAAAGCTCCCTGGCTTGTGTCTTTAATGTTCTTTATGTTTTTATTGATTTGAGAGAGGAAGAGAGAGGGAGGGGGAGAGGGAAACACAGAATGAGGAAGGAGAGAGGGAGAGAAAACATCGATGGGTTGCTTTCCACACGCGTCTCAAACCCGCAACCCGAGTCTGCGCCCTGACGGGGAAGCTACCTGGTGACCTTTCGGTACGCCAAGGCCCGGCCCACGGAGCCACCCTGGCCGGGACACGATTTGGTGTTTAACGTGGGAAGTCACACGTGAGCTTCCTAGCGTGGGCCTGGCCCTCCCGTGCCCGTCTTGTTCCTTTCCTCGAACGCTGGACGCCAGACCGACAGACGGATGCGCAGAGGCACGCCAGGAGGCCGGCGGGGCGCTGAGGTTTTGGGGTATGCCTTTACAGACACCTGCCCAGACAACAAGAGCCACGGCTTTGATCCCGGCCAAGCCGTCACCGGGAGAAGAAATCCGCACGGGACGCTGTTGTGCAAGTGGGGACGCGGGTCCAGGTCTGTTTGTCTGGGGCCGGGCCTTGACATTCAGACAGAACGCCCACCAGGGGGACACGGAGTCCTGGAGATGGAAACGACCAAAGGCCACGGCAGGTAACACCCAACACGTGGCCGAAACCGGTGGACAGAGCATCGGCCTGTGGACTGAAAGGTCCCAGGTTCGATTCCGGTCAAGGGCGTGTACCTTGGTTGCGGGCACATTCCCAGTAGGAGGTGTGCAGGAGGCAGCTGATCGATGTTTCTCTCTCATCGATATTTCTAACTTTCTATCCCTCTCTCTTCCTCTCTGTAAAAAAATCAGAAAAATATATTAAAAAATAAAAAATAACACGTGGCAAGTTCCAAGAAAATGAGGTGGCCTTCCGAGGAAACACCGACGGGGGACGACCCCACGGGGACAGCTCAGAGCTGGCGAACCGCCGTCGCTTGCTCTGTGTGTGAAGGATAGGAGCGACGAGCTCTCACTCTCTCTCTGGGTTAGTCCTTCTCGGCGATGCAGTGGATTCCTAACTACACTCGAGGGATGTTGTTGTCGCCGGTAGGATGGCTTCCTGCCTTCTCTCCAACCACGTTCCGCGGTGAAGTTCGTCATAAACGCACACCCTGGGGAGAAGGCGCGGGCGCTCACGGGGAAGGGTGCTGGGACTCTGCTCGTGTCAGAATGGCACACGGTATGAACTCGGTGCCACCGTTTCCTGCTATCCATTCCAACACACCCAAGAACCAGCTGGCCCCGTGATTCAACCAGAACACGCCTGCATTTTATTTTATTATTTAAAAAAATATTGATTTTTTACAGAGAGAAAGAGAGAGGGATAGAGAGTTAGAAACGTCGATGAGAGAGAATCATGATCAGCTGCCTCCTGCACACCCACTACTGGGGATGTGCCCGCAACTAAGGTGCATGCCCTTGCCTGGAACTGAACCCGGGACCTTTCAGTCCGCAGGCCGACGCTCTGTCCACTGAGCCAAACCAGTTTCGGCATGCCTGCATTTTAAATACATCGTCCTGACATAAGACAGACAAACACAGGCACACACAGAGAGCAATGCTCAAAACTGAGGATCACCCTGGCCGGTGCGGATTCGTTGGTTAAATGGGGTCCCAAGCACCAAAAGGTTGCCGGTTCGAAAACCAGTCAGGGAAAGAAAAAAAAAGAGGAAGGAAGAAAAATGTGAACACTTACCCCTGTACTCACAAGCGACAACATAATCCTTTCATTTAAGGCTAACGTTTCTCCTTGTTTCATCTTGATCCTCTTCTTATCCAGGCATTTCATCGCATACCTAGAAACAGAGACGCTGCTGAAAAATCAACATCAAAGACACCCCCGGACTGATTTCAACAAGACACCCCGCCCCGGGACAGATTCGGGCAGTGTTTAAAACAGCAAACTGGCACCCAAGTGCCATGCAAAAAAAAAAAAAAAAAAAAAAGTCTTATTACACGTATTAAGAAAAAAAAAAAAAAAAAAAAAAAGCCCTAACCGATTTGGCTCAGTGGATAGAGCGTTGGCCTGCGGATTGAAGGGTCCCAGGTTCGATTCCAGTCAAGGGCATGTACCTTGGTTGCGGGCACATCCCCCATGCGGGGTGTGCAGGAGGCAGCAGATCGATGTTTCTCTCTCATCGATGTTTCTAGCTCTCTATCCCTCTCCCTTCCTCTCGGTAAAAAAAAATCAATATTAAAAAAAAAATAAACTCCCCTCTGCAGGGGTACCCCCACACACACACTCCTCAGGTAGGGGCTGTGCGTACGGACGTCCTTCCGCAGAGCCTGCGGGGAGGGAGGGGAGCAGTCTGACAAGCACGACCTCGGTCAAAGGATCAAGACTTAAGCCTCGGCTGGGCCTTTTTCTAGAAGAGAATGTCTATTTCTTTCCGAGGCAAACAACTTCGGGAGAGAGATCCCGGGCTTCCTAAAACCATCTGCAGGCATTTTCTTTGGGTGTGAGCACAAAATAACTCTAACGGTCCCGGGGGAAGGTAGAAACGCAAAAAAAAAAAACACCCCAAAAACAAAAAAACTTACATTTTCCCAGTGTCCGCCTTCCGGCAGCCATAGACTTCTCCGAAGCCGCCTCGCCCGATGATCCGATGTACGCTGAAATCATTCATGGTCAACTGTGAATTCAAAACACGACATGGCAACGTAACGGCCGCGTACAAGTGACGTGGTCGAGGATTCTCCACGCGACACACACACACACACACACACACACACACACACACACACGTTACTAAACGTGGCCGCTCTGCGGTGAGGGGACCTGCCGTTCCCACGACCGGCTCCTTGGACAGAGGGGAGCGGCGGGAGGAGGCAGGGGCTTTCCAGAACCTCCACCTGCTGCTCCCCCAGAGGGCCCAGCACAGGGGCAGACCGGAAGGGGACGGAGGGGGGGGCCATGAGGCCGCTGTGCCCCCCTCCACCGTCTTAGGCTACAGGACGCACGCCCGGAAGACAAGCATCCGGGAACTTTCTGGTCCAAATGCAAAGCAGCCAAAACTGGTTTGACTCAGCGGATAGAGCGTCGGCCTGCGGACTGAAGGGTCCCGGGTTTGATTCCGGTCAAGGGCATGTACCTTGGTTGCAGGCACATCCCCAGCAGGGGGTGTGCAGGAGGCAGCTGATCGATGTTTCTCTCTCATCGATGTTTCTAACTCTCTCTTCCTCTCTGTAAATAAATAAAATAAATAAATATTTTTTTAAAAATGCAAAGCAATGTGGGCTACTCAGGAGCCTGAAGTTGGCAGAAAGAGCCTGTGTCCGGGGCGTCCGCGTCTCCCTGGGAGTGAGCCGTGTGATTGGAAAGCCCGGCGGACGGCGGCCACGTGGATCTTTTTATCGATCACGTCCGTGAAGAGAGAGGGGACTCGTGCTGGGCATGTGAGCCTGAAGCAAGACTGAGTGTGAGCGGAGGAAATAAGAGGCTTTATTCATGAGCGCTTCTCCTTTTGCCCTTAAGACGGAGTTTTAACAGCATCAGATAGTGCCAAGGCGGCCAGAACACCCTGCAGTCCTGGGAAGAGGCCCTCGGATCACAGCGAAGGCCTCCTGGGCAGACCGAGGGTTAGATTCTTAAAAGAGCCCCCCCCTACCCACCCCCTGAACCATCCTGTCCGCAGCCAGGTGGCCACGGCCTTCCTGTCTTGTCGTGTCTGATACTGAGAGGACAGGGGACATCAGGCCGGTGGAAGGAGCATGAGTATAAGGACAATCCACGGCGGATTTAAGGGCTTTTTAAAAAACTCCATTTGTTTAGTTTTGGCTAATCCTCACCCCAGGTCATTTTTTCCCATTGATTTTTAGACAGAGTGGAAGGAGGGAGAGAGACGAGAAACACGGATGTGACAGAGAGACAATGACTGGTTGCCTCCCGCACACGCCTGGACCTGGGCCGGGGATCCAGCCTGCAACCGAGGTACCTGCCCTTGACCGGAATCGAGCCTGGGACCCTTCAGTCTTAGAGCCGACTCTGTCTACTGAGCCAAACTGGCTAGGGGAGGGATCTTTTTTAATGTGTGTTACTGCCTCAGGTTTCTAAATCCTGCCAGGAAATGTGGTGCAAAGGAGAGGTCAAATAAATCAATAAACAAAAAAAAAAATAACTTCTTCCAACAGGACCATTCAAGTAAAAAACTCCCCCCCTCCAAAAAAAAAAAAAAAAAAAAGAAAGAAAGAAAGAAACCTAGTTGATAAAAAAAAATATATATTTTTAAGGTAAAACTTGGGACTAAAAACGATGTGATTATTCTTATTACATGATTGATGATTGCAACTAATCATAAAGAGAAGAAAAGCAACTTTCCTGGGATGGCAAAGGACAAGGGCATCCGGGAACCACGTTACCTAAACTTCTGTGCTCACTAGTGTTCCCGAGAAAGGGCGCATTACTGCTTAAAAATGTCCTTTCGTAAAGAAATAAACACACAGGGATATGAAAAGAGAGAATTAAGCTCGACCGGCGTGGCTCGGTGGTTGAGCGTCGACCTATAAACCAGGAGATCTCGGTTCTTTCCCGGTCAGGGCACAGGCCTGGGTCGGGGACTCGGTCCCCGGTGGTGTGGGGCGTGCAGGAGGCAGCCAATCAATGATCGATCCTCTCTCATCACTGACGTTTCTCTCTCTCTCTCTTTCCCCCTCTCCCTTCCTCTCTGAAAGCAATAAAAATATATTTTTTTAAAAAGAGAGAGAGAATGAAAATTCAGCTTGTTTGTAGCTGGGAGGGGAGGGCTCTGTGGCGCGGAGCTGTGAGCACATCTCCTCGGGCGGGCGTCACCCTGGGGAGCGGGCCCAGGAGCAAGCATTTTCTCAGGAAGGGAGGCCAGAGGGAGTTCTTCACTTTAAAAAGGAGATAAAAAAAAAAAAAAGACATGGATACTCACATGGATATTTAGCTCTACGTTTTTCCATTGACAAAACCGCGTGAACTTGTCGCTGAAAGAGAAGACACCAGGAAGGTAAAGGTCACACTCGCCGCGGTTTGGAGAACGACGCTGGGATGTGAACGAGGGGATGCGCCACTGGCTTTCCTTCTGCGACAGCATCCATGTTCCTGCACGTCCTGGCACAGCCCGTCCGCCTCCGGGCCTGATCTCCTGGCTCAGGGGGAAGGCGTCCTGATTTCCTTTCACCATCGTTATGCTACGGCAGTGGCTCTCAACCATCCCAATGCCCCCGACCCTTTAATGCAGCTCCTCGTGGGGTGGTGGCCCCGGAACATAACGTTATTTTCGTTGCTGCTTCGTCACTGTCATGGTGCTGCTGTTATGAATTGGAATGGAAATAACATCTGTGTTTTCCGAGGGCCTTAGACCCACAGGTTGAGAACTGCTGCTGAAGAGCCCGAGACCATCGGAAAACACAGAAAATAATTTTTATGGCTGGGAGTCACCACGACATGAGGAACTGTATTAAAAGGGGTCGAGAATCACTGCTCTAAAGGCTCGTTGATGTGACCCAGCAACTCTCTGGGCAGGGAAACAGGCGGATGCCCACTTTGCAGCCCGAGGTCACAAGGCGAGAGAACGGGCGGGACAGGATTTGAACTCAGACCGAGCGCTGCCTCTCGGGGGCACAGAGGGCCCCTCAGACTAGACCCGGAAGACGCCGTGGGCCATCGCCCGGGCGTGTGCTCTCACCATGCCCTCAACTGCTGGCTGAGGGCTCTTCCGCCCACCAAGTAAGAAAAAAAAAATATCTAATTTAATAAATGCATTATTCAGATTCCCTTTTTGTTACTGAGCAACAACATATCTAAGCAAAGAACGTTCTTGCTGACTGCTGGGATCCTCTGGCCACTGCTATGATTTCTTAGACACAGGCAGAGTACTCAGGGTTCTTTGAGCGAAGGAATGAAGGAATGAAGGAATGAAGGAATAAAGGAAGGAACGGGTGGGGGAGACAGAAAAGGCACAATGGGGGGCATCTCTCATAAAGTACAAGTTATAGGAATTATACCAGCATTGTAACATGCTGCGTGGCATCCAAATATCCCATTTCTCTGGGGTTTTCATCCAATTCGCCTTTGAAAGACCTTTTTTAAAAGCATTTCTGAGGCTAATAATCAAATTGGGAATCAAAAGCGCCATGTAATTACACAGCATCGCTTTACGATGAATCTAAAAGGACTTTTTAACGAGCGTTTCCTTGATCCTCCTGCCATCTCCGTGCGGTTGGTAAAACAACACTGCATTTTGAGATTTCAAACCGCTTTTATTTAAGTACGGGGAGAGCAAAGGGCAAAACCACACTGGGCGTGCTCTGCGTTTACACATCGATGCTTGCTGCGAAGTTCACGTGGCGGCCCAGGCTCACTCATACTCTTTTCTCACACTGGGGGCCGGAGCTGGCACGGGGGGTGGGGGGGAGGTGTGGGTTAGCACATTACAGACGAGCAGAGGCCGGGGCGGGTGGACAGCCAGGGGGAGAGAGGTGCCTGCGGGCCCAGGGAGGGCGAGGGTGGCAGAGTGGCTTTCACTCCAGCCCCTGACCTGGGCCGGAGGTGCTGAGCAGCTGAAGCTCCCTGAACACGGCTCCCAGGCCTCATCCCCGGAGCCAGCCCAGCCGGGGGCTTGGCCTGTGTCCCTGCTGGGCCTCGGGAGAGGGCGGGAGGATGAGGAGAAGGCGGGGAGGTGAGCCCCGGCCCCGCTGAAGACTCCCCTTTATCATTGCCCTGCGGAGAACCGGCCTGGGCCTGGGCCCTCAGAGAGCGGCCGGGCCCTCGGACCAGCGAGGCGGGGGACTCGGTTGGTGGGATGTCCGTGCTTCTCAGAACCAACTCGAAATGCTTGTTCTGAGATGCATATATATATATATATATATATATATATATATATATATATATGCTTATTTGAGAATCTATTAATATAGAAAAAGGCACCCAAAAAGGCATTAGCAATAAACTGACTTTAAAAATCACGCATTTATACAAAGTGGTACAGGGACCAGGAAATCCGGGATTTCTAAAAGCTTGCCTACGATGCAGTCAGAGCGACTGATTCTGTAGGATTTTGAAAACCACATGCGGGCTGAGCCTCTTCCCCGATGGAAACGTTCACCCCCGTCTCGCTCCTTGCACCCCCAGGATCCCAGAGCAGAGCAGCCGGGCTGACCCCGAGGTGGGAAAGGTCAGACCTGAGCACACCCGGCCCCGAGCCAGGGAGTGGGCCCTGGGCGGGCAGCCCAGCCACTGGGTTTGCTGCGGCTGCGGCTGCTGCCTTTTGGCCAAGCTCCGGCTCCGGCTCCCGCTCCGAACAGTGTCATCATCCGGATGCAAGTTCCTTTCCCCAAGCCTTCTCTCAAAATTATCCCCGAACTCCGGCGGAAACACCACACAGGCTTGTTACTTTTCTAAATCCCGGGGACATGTGGAGAGCGGCGTCTGTTCGTAAAGGGCGGTCAGGGCCCAGCTGCAGGCGGCCGGCGGCGGGCCCCTGGTCGCCATCATCACGGCGATTGTCTGCATCGCAGCCGGGCGTGCACAGGGAGGCGGGTTAGAGAGCACACACACACACACACACACGCACACGCACACGCACACGCACACGCTCCCCGCACGGAAGGACCGGCCGCGCGGAGCTGAGAGCTTTCGAGACGCCGCCGAAGCGTGTCAGGACTGTGTGTGGCAGGCATGCGCTTCTGTAGCTCCAGGAACCCAAAGGGACATGCCTGAGGATACACGCGGTCACAGGCATGACTTGCCGGTGCCCGTCAGAGTCTAACGGAATCAGGCACGAGCTTGTCCCGCTTTGGGGGGACATGATTGCAAAGTCCAGACACAAGAGTCACACGAAGAGAGCCATGAGCTTGCATTAGGAAAGGGTCCCAGGGAGAAGCGAGGTGCCCCGGCCTCTTTGAATCTCAGACGTCGCACGGGTGTGGGGAGTTCTGAGGAAGCACAGGTTTTCATGTTATGCTGTCCCCTCCTGGCACATCGAAATTACGATGTGACGTATCAGGGACATAGGTTAACACAAAGCCTGGCACATAGTACATGGCCAATACACACTTGGTGAATGGATAAATTAACATACACTATATTGGGTTACGTGGGGTACACCTACACAGCACAAGGTTCTATATAAATATATCTATATATCTATATCTATATGATGTATATATATTATTGTGTATATATTATTGTAATATGTTATATGTCATATATCACAAAGATTTTTTATGTGTGTGTATATGTGTACACACACACACACACACACACACACATACATGTGAAGAGAGAGTTTCATACCTTTCCATAAATTTTTGGAAAATGTTGCCTCGAAGACTTTCACAGATTTCAACGATGTATGGCTGAAAGGAGAGAATTTCTGTTCGGACCGCATACGGGAGACAACCGATCGATGTGTCTCTCTGACATCCATGTTTCTTTCTCTTCCCCTTCCTCCCTTCCTTTCTCCCTCCTTCCCTCCCTCCCTCCCTTTCTCTCTGTCTAAAACCAGTGGGAACAACATCCTCGGTGAGGATTAACAGCAACACAAAGAAGAGTGCATGTCCATGAGGAGACAAGCAATGTTCAACTCCAGACAACAGCAGCCTGACAGGCCAGGGCCTCCCTCCCCCAGCTACACGCACGGGAAGGACATGCTACCACGCCCAGCTGCTATGCAGATGAGACGCCCTCGACGCAAGCGCATTCGCCTCACCTGGAAGAGCGCAGGCGTCACCTGCTTCTTGGACAGACGGTACTGCACGTGGTCCACGGCTTGCTTCGAGAATGGCTTTCAAAAACCAAAAACAGCATCGTTTGCAACCAGTAGAAACCATGACCAGCCTCTATGTTATATAACAGCACAACGCAAACGTAACACCACATTGGTTCAACGGTAACCCAGAAACACAGCTAAGGACATGATATCAGCGTGCATTCGTTAAAAAAGATCCAAAAGTGTCCCTCGGGGCTCCCGGGATTCTCAGACACGGCGCTGGGAAAAATGATGAGCGTGGGGGTGGCTGGCTGATATCTAATCCCACAAGAATTCAAGATCCCTGTGAGAAAGAGAAGCTGAGAGAATCTCCCTTTATCATCAGCTTATGAGCTGAAAATACGCCTCGATGAGCTGATAATGGGGCCCTAAAAATGCACAACGGCTATGAAATTGAATTTCCGAGAAAATGAATGCGTGCAAACAGCCCAAGAATCAAATGTCAGGATTGCAAACGAAGTCAGGGCGGTGAGAGGCTCCAGGTCACAGGGAAGCCACTGCCGTAGCCACAGCACAGGGAACTGCTTCTAGAAGAATAAACTGCTGAAACCAGTTGGGCTCAGTGGATAGAGCGTCAGCCTGTGGACTGAAGGGTCCCGGGTTCAATTCTGGTCAAGGGCATGTGCCTTGATTTCGGGCACATCCCCGGTGGGGGGTGTGCAAGAGGCAGCTGATCGATGATTCTCTCTCATTGATGTTTCTAACTCTCTATCCCTCTCACTTCCTCCTTGTAAAAAGTCAATAAAATATATTTTAAAAATATATATATAGCCAAGACCGGTTTGGCTCAATGGATAGAGCGTCGGCTTGGGGACTGAAGGGACCCGGGTTCGATTCCGGTCAAGGGCATGTACCTTGGTTGCGGGCATATCCCCAGTAGGGGGTGTGCAGGGGGCAGCTGATTGATGACTCTCTCTCATCGATGTTTCTAGCTTTCTGTCTCTCTCCCTTTCTCTCTGTACAAAATCAATAAAATATATTTTTAAAAAATATTTTTTTTAAATATATAGATATAGATATAGAAGAATAAACTTACTACATGACAAGGATTACAAGCTCTGCACCCTCCTCGCCCCCAAACTTCAAACTATCTCTTCTTCAATAATGCACAGGAAGAAGAAACGTGGGTGAGTGGAAGGTAATCAACCAAGGAGCTTCTACGCATATATGCATGGCCCCTGGACACAGACAATGGGGTGATGAGGGTCTGGGGCAGGCGGAGGGGGTCAATGGGGGAATATGTAACGCTTTCAACAATAAAGACTTAAAGAAGAAAGAAAGAGAGGCTGCAGACCCAGCCGGTGTGGCGCAGTCATTGAGCCTCAACCTATGAACCAGGAGGTCACAGTTGGATTCCCAGTCGGAGCACAGCCTGGATTGTGGGCTTGATCCCCAGTAGGGGGCGTGCAGGAGTCAGCAGATCAATGATTCTCTCTCATCACTGATGTTTCTATCTCTCGCTCCCTCTCCCTTCCTCTCTGAAATCAATACAAATATATTAAAAACAACAGTCTTAATGCAGAGAGATTGCCTGGTAAATTTTTATCACTAATTTTTCCACTCACTCCTGGTGGAATGATTTCCTAGGAGCCTAGTTTAATTCTAATGACCGAATTCAACTGTTTATCCTGATGTATAAGAAAAAAGAATGTCAACCATTACCTAACAATTAATGAACACAATTAATATAATTACAATCCACCCTATAAATCCAAAGGAGCCACTTAAGAGTTATATTTACCAGTATCTCTTTAGTCTCATTGCGAAAGTATAACTACATTAAAATAATAAGCTTAATTTCCTCGAGAAAGTCTAGAATTGAGGCTACCCTTTCCTTCCATTGCTCTGAATTCGCTACTGTACTTCATCAATTTTTGCAGTGAAAGCATTTGCTTTTTGGAAATATATATATAGATATAGATACAGATACAGAGATAGAGATACATAGATAGATATAAATATCTATCTCAAGAGTATACGGAGCCCTGGCTGGTGTGGCTTAGTTGGTTGGGTGTCATCCTGTGCGCCAAGAAGTCGCTGGTTCCATTCCCAATCAGGGCATATGCATGGGTTGCACACAGGAGGCAGCCCATTGATGTTATCCTCCTACATCAATGTTTCTCTCTCTCTCTCTCTCTCTCTCTCTCTCTCTCTCTCTCTCTTTCAGCAATGTCGGGATTGTCGGGATTATCAAGACACAAGCCACAAAGCAGAGAGAACAGGTTCCATCCTGGATGAATCACACTTGGTTTGCGGACGCCTTCTTGCTGCCTGGCATCCACTCCAGGCACCCCACAGGCCGCCGCGTGCCGCTCCCCACGGCGGGGACAGAGCCAGAGGGAACACTCACATGCGAACACGACAGCAGCTCCTTCATGATGTAGGTGTCGTAAATCTGTCGACTCCTGCTGAGGCGATCTTCCTCGTTCTCAAGCTTCTCGTATTCTTTTATCTGGGTGGCAAAACGTTATCGGTGAGCAGTGTGTCTCCTTGGAAACCGACTCTGTTAACAGACATGACTAGTCTTGGCAGAAAAGTGGGACCAGGCAAATGATGGGACGGGCTATTCCACGGGGCACCACCACTCCCTGAGGTTGTCGGAATGAAGCTGGGATACGAGTCACAAATGGGGATCAAGCCTACAAATGGGATGCTTCCAATGATGAGGCTCATCGCTTAAATTTAGAAGCGCGGCATTGGCAAACAAATACTGCCATGGTTACAATTATCTTACACCCGACCGGCCACGGGCCACCCGTGCCTGCCAACTCTCCTTTCCAAAGCACGAGCAGGCTCCATCTGGCTGAGAGTCAGAGCTAAGAGCGATGAGGTCGCTCTTGCTCAATGACGGCATTGCAAAACTAAGGGGACAAAAGGCACACATCTTGTTCGGGTTCCTTAAGACGAGAATTTATTTATTTTTTTTTAAATCAACTAAGTATTTTGGAAAAGCATGAGCCGTAGAGGAAAGCATGGGAACCTCTCCTGCAACTACTGAAGAATTAACAGGAAGGTCACCCCCCGTGGCCCACAGGGAGGGTCACCCGGCAGCACTGAGAGGGGCCCAAAGATAAATGTGATTTAGAAACACGTGGCATACGCAAAAGCAGCCCTGGTCATTCTAACCTGATAACGGAAGGTCCGAGGTCACAAAAGTGGTTGGTTTTTTTTTTTAATTTACTCACAGAAACACTTTTAATCCGAAAGACAGAGACTGAAAACACAGATGGCACGTGGGGCTGGTAGGAGGCGGTACCGACTAATTACAGGCCGTCCTCGGCTCATGTCGGACCCGACCTTTGTTGTTTCATGGTTACATCGCCACCTCCCACTTATTTATTTTTTTAAAAGTTCCGTCATTTTGACATATGTACACAAGTGCTTTGTTTATTACTGTATTTACCATAAGTAAAGGTCAGGAATTGATGTCTTTCTTTTAATTTTTTATTTATTTATTTTTTTTACGGTTTCACTTCATTCCTGCTGTGTGTGCGCTCCGTGTGAGTGACACAGGGGCTTATGTAGGTCTTACAGCAAAAACTGCATTACGTCACGCCATAGGCACAGATCTGCGCGTGACCCGTAACCCCAGGACCTACTGCGCTGTGTGTGCGTGACTTTTTAAACGGGGGAGGAGGGGGGGAGAGGGGGCGAGGGTGGTGCTGGTGTAGTGTTTCCCCCAGGTAGCCAGTTGCTCCGCTGACTTCCACCAAATGCTCTTTATTCTGGAACAGGAAGAGGCGAGGCTAACTCCTCCACAGTGGGGGGTACAGATCAATGGAGAGAAGGGTGACCTGTTTCCTACACTGTCAGGGTTGGACAGGTCTGAAGTCAAAATCAGTCCGTCCTGTAAGAATTTCTGATGAAGGAAGGGAGAGAGAGGGGCGTGTGAAAGGCTGGGGTCTCTCTGAGGCTGCTGGGAAGCGACTGGGGTCGTCTCCGTCGGCCTGAAGCACCGTCAGTTACACCGGAGTCTTCCTGGAACCGAGGCTAAGGTCTGCCACAGAGGCGGGTGGGGTGGGCCCAGGCCCCATCCCAGAGGGAAGGCCCCATCCCAGCAGGAAGGCCCCATCCCAGAGGGAAGACCCCATCTCAGCGGGAAGGCCCCATCCCAGCGGGAAGGCCGGCTGTCTAAGGAGGACGTAGTCCAGCAATCACCAAAGCTGGGCTCTCCCTCCCAGCTTCGCCGGGCAGGGCCGGTCTCGAGGCGACCAGGCCGCTGCCAGGCCCTGAGACCAGGCACCAGCACCGGAGGCAGCGTCGGAAATGAACGCAGGCTTCTGGGCGGGCGGGTGGGTTCCTTCTGTTGTTCCCTGTGGGGCGGGCGAAGGCCAGGACGCGGGGATGACACGGGCAGCCCCCGTGAGCCGAAGGCCGGTGTTTCTGCCTAAACAGCTGAGCAGATCCGAAGAATAAGCCCCGCGCGGGATTCTCATCCTTGAAAACAAGTGGGATGACGCCTACGTCTGTTTCCAGGGACACCTGGTTCCACGGATGCTGAGCCCACGGGAGCTTGGCAAGAGCGGGAATAGCCCAGCTCACGCCGGACAGTCTCGTGGCCCGGGCAGGTGACGTATGAACCACGACGCCGCCTTTGCCAGGAGCCTGGTGCTCCACGGCCTTCGACTGAACGACAGGAAAGGAAACCCTGAGGAGGCAAGGCCAGGGCCTCGAGCGCCTGTGGCTGGAATTCGAGCTTCACATCCTCAGGGGGACCACGAATTTAAGATCCTGCAGTCAACTCGCAGTTAGCTCCAGACGGCACGTCCGTCCGCACTCAGCAGGACACGGAGGATGCAGCCTCGGGTTCTGGCGGCTGACGCCCGAGTTCAAGGTGCAAAGAGCCCCGGACAGCAGACAGAAGCCTCGTCATCCGTGGTGAACGGGCACTGATCACGTGTCCCCTCCGCTTTGGGGGTTACCACGCTCACGGCCTAAACACCCGGCACCCCGAGAGCAAGCGCTGCTGGTCTGCGGCCGCCGCGGTCTCCACTTCCTCGCCTCCGGCTGCTCCACGGCCAGCCCAGGGGGACGGCCTGGCACCTTGCGAACGGCCTCTCTACTTCGCCTGGTCCCGTGGTCGGCAAACTGCGGCTCTCGGGCCCCTGGAGTGTGGCTCATCCACAAAACACCACGGCCTGGGCGAGTCTGCGTTGAAGAAGCGGCGTTCGAAGACGTCGACGTGTTTAAAGAATGTGTCTCTCCAAAGACATGCCCATCGTCGTCGTGCTGTTGCTATTGGGCTCGGCGGACGAATGAGTTTGCCGACCGCTGGCCCAGTCAGACAGAGCATGGTGCTGGGGCGACGCCCTTCACCCACCAGGTTCTCCTCGGGCAAAACCGCTCGGTCCCGCAGATTCAGGGACCGATTCCCTTCCCGTGGCTACGCGTGGATCTCTGAGGCTCCCCTGGCCCCCTGAGCTCCGGATTCCGAGGATCTAACTTCCCATTTTGCCGTGTCCACATCCTGCCCAACCCAGCCACACTGGCTCTTCCCTCCTCGTTGTCACAAAAGCGCGAAAACCATACGCCTCGGAGCTGACACCAAAAAGGAACAATCGTCACAGATGCTGCTTTTGCTCACGCCCCTGTCCCCCCGCTCTCCCCCAAAATCCAATTCATCAGCCAAGCACGCTGGCTTCGTACTCAAAACATATCACAAACCCAGGCCACGCTTCCGGTAACAGCCCACTGACTGCTCACAGAGCCATCCTCCTGGCGGGGTGTGAGTGTGTGTGTGTGTGTGTGTGTGTGTGTGTGTGTGTGACACCTATACTACCCAAGTGCTGCCACTCCGACCTAATTGATATTTCTAGACTATTCACCTTCAATTTCCCATGGGCTGCCGAAACCGGTTTGGCTCAGTGGATAGAGCCTCGGCCTGCAGACCGAGAGGTCCCGGGTTCGATTCTGGTGAGAGGCATGTTCCTTGGTTGCAGGCACATCCCCAGTACGGGGTGTGCAGGAGGCAGCTGATCGATGACTCTCTCTCATGGATGTTTCTCTCTATCCCTCTCCCTTCCTCTCTGTTAAAAAAAAAAATCAATAAAATATATATTTTTAAAAAATGTTTTTGTTGCTGAAACCAGTTTGGCTCAGCGGTAGAGCGTCGGTCTGGGGACTGAAGGGTCCCGGGTTCGATTCCGGTCAAGGGCATGTACCATGGTTGTGGGCACATCCCCAGTGGGGGGTGTGCAGGAGGCAGCTGATAGATGATTCTCTCTCATCGATGTTTCTAACTCTCTATTCCTCTCTCTTCCTCTCTGTAAAAAAAAAAAATCAATAAAATATATATTTTTAAAAATGTTTTTGTCATGGGCTTTCTTTCCCATCACATTAGGGGCTCCACCTTAGCCATGACTTCAGCCTCAAAGGGTCTCCCCACCCCACAACCCTGTTCCCACCTTCAGAAGACTAGCTTCTTCCCCGACATTCAGGTCTCGGTCCGGATGCCACCGGCTCGGAGGGAGCCCGGCTCGGACCCGGCCCTCCCCCGCGGCCCCTCGGCCCGGGCCGTGGGCTTGGAGCCCGTTCTGAGTCACCGGGTAACGGTTATGACTTCCTGATACGGCGCCCGTGGGTGGAATCTGCTGCGGGGTCACCGCTCACAGCGGTTATCACTTCCTGATGCATTTCCTGTTTATTGCTTGTTTATTGTCTGCTTCTCTCCAACAAAAATAGAAGCGGAACAGCAGCAAGCACTTTGCCTGCCTTGTTCAGCTCACCGAGGCCTCCTCCGGGCACTGGAGTCTGAGAGCTCCTGGGTGGAATGAGGGCAGAAATCTCTAGATAGTAACTTTACCTCCGACCTTCTGTTTCTTTTCTCTCTCTCTCTCTCTCTCTCTTTTTTTTTTTCTTCTATTTATTTTCTGTTTCCTATGATTTCTTTCTAGACCTAGGTATCAAATCCGTATTTTTCTAAGCTGCCTCCAAACCTAACGGGAGCAAACAAGTGTATAAACCGGCTCACTGAGCGGTGACTACACGTCATGTGACGTTCCGGTGTTGCATTCAAACATGCCAACCTTAAGGGACAGGGACGGCCATCAGGCGCGTTCTCAGCTGTGGAAACCCGGGTGGAGCCTGGCCGGTGTGGCTCAGTGGTTGAGCATCAACCCAGGGACCAGGAGGAGGTCACAGCTGGATTCCGGGTCAGGGCATGTGCCGGGGTTGCAGCTCGATCCCCAGTCAGAGGCGGCAGGAGGCAGCCTGTCGATGATTCTCTCTCATCACTGATGTTTCTATCTCTCTCTCTCTCTCTCCCTCTCCCTTCCTCTCTCTGAAATGAATAAAAACTTAATTAATTTATTAATTTATTAATTTAAAGAGAGAGATTGAGCTGAGATTGGTCTGAGTTGCCATATTTTGGATTTTTTAAAAATATATACTTTATTGATTTTTTTTTTTTTTTTTTTTTACAGAGAGGAAGGGAGAGGGATAGAGAGCTAGAAACATCGATGAAAGAGAAACATCGATCAGCTGCCTCCAGCACATCCCCCATAGGGGGGATGTGCCCGCAACCAAAGTACATGCCCTTGCCTGGAATCGAACCCGGGACCCTTCAGTCCGCAGGCCGAAACTCTATCCAACGAGCCAAACCGGTGTCAGCCGAGTTGCCATTTTTGCAGGACTCGGGCTGCCTCCTGCTGGCCCCAGCCCCTGAGGTGTGGCTCTCCCTGGAGCTCATGGACATTACCTCTGCCTCCTGGGGGCTTTCAGAAAGCGCCCTGCCTCCTGTCCCACGCGTGTTCCAAACCGGCCTCTGCCCTGAGCGCGAGACTCACCACTCGCTTGGGGGTCCTCCAGTCCCACTGGCTTTTCACTTTGGCCCCAGAAACCTCCTCTGGCTCCTTCTCCCCGAGAAGCAGCTTCCTGCCCGGGGCAGAGCCTGGACTCCGTGATGCCCAGACCCCACGCCTGGCCCAGGGGGTGCCAGGCTACAGCTCTCTGGTGGGACCAGACAGCTCTGCCCGTTTCTCTCCCACCCGGCAGCGGCCCTGGGCATCAGCCTGCGTGCCCAGAATCCGTGAGCTTCTGCGGAACACGAGACGGCTGGGAGTCCTGGGGGCACCTCGGAATGAGGCTCCCTGCTCTGGGGGTTAGCCCCGCTCCTCCTCACTGCTCCTAGGGCAGCCGGGAGCCGTGGCCAATGGGCTTCGCAGAGATGTCAGCATCGCTAAGGAGCCAAGTATCTTACCCTGTTCTACCAAGTCCGTTCAGTGGGTTTCTAAATGTCTGTCAGATACTTGCGTCGTGGTCATGTTTCCCAAAGGACGGTTTCAATGTGCTTTTGAAATAAACGCGTCGGTAAAAACGGTTACTTCTTACCTCTTCATAAAACTTCACCTGAGGTACAGCTTCATTAATTTCATTCAAACAAAAATCTTTAAATAGCAAGAAACCTAAAGGGAAAGAATAAGACATTTCAGGGCGGGCAATCAGTGGAAATTTCCAGAGTCACATGTTTATACTTTAACTTTGTCCTCCCCTGCCTTAAAAAAGAGTGAAGACATGGACTCCAAGAGGCTAGTTACACCCTGGAGGAAAATTAAGGGTACCTGCCTCCTGGCTTTGGGGTTCCGTCTGGACTGCCCCCCCCCCACACTTTTTGCAAACGCATGCTCAGCAGTGCAGGTGGTCCCCGCCACCGAGAGCCACTGGCCACTTCAGCCAGCGGGAGAATGAGCACAGAAAGGAGAGATGCCCGGAGCATGGGAGTGTCGGTGAGGGTCCTCTGTCCTCAGAAACAGGACAGAAGTCCCTTAAAGGACAGAAGGGCCCAGATCAGTTGACTCAGTGGATAGAGCGTCGAGGGCCTGCAGACTGAAAGGTTCCAGGTTCGATTCCAGTCAAGGGCATGTACCTTGGTGGCGGGCACATCCCCAGTTGGAGGTGTGCAAGAGGCAGCTGATTGATGTTTCTCTCTCATCGATGTTTCTAACTCTCTATCCCTCTCTGTAAGAAAAATCAATAAAACATATATATTTTTTTTAAATGTGTTGCTTTTTATAAGGTACCAATGAGAACTTCTGAACATGTTAAATATAAGCGGTATCATCTATGAGAGATTTGGAAGTTAGAATTCCTAAAAAAAAATGTAGAACTTATGCACATCCCAAGATGCCGTCAAGAAAATAGACTCGACATGAACGCAGATAAAATATTATAAAACTTACACCGGCGTCAGGCTTTGTATAGAATTTCTACAAACACTAAGACACTCTTACAGAGAATGTTTACAAGGAAATCTCCCGGTGAAAGAACGGGCAGAAACACAGGAACACTTCACAGAGGAGGAGGTGTGAATGGCCAACAGGAACTTGAGATGGGCTCACCATCGCAGGTCCTCAAGCACCGGGTGAGACCCCAAGCTGAGACCCCGCAGCTCCACGACATGAATGGCAGGATTAAAAAGACTGACACCACCAGCCCAGCCGGCGTGGCTCAGTGGCTGAGCGGAGACCTATGAACCAGGAGGTCACGGTTCGATTCCCGGTCAGGGCACATGTCCCGGGCTGCTGGCTCGATCCCCAATGTGTGGGGGCTATAGGAGGCAGCCGATCAATGATTCTCTCTCATCGTTGATGCTTCTCGCTCTCCCTCCCCCTTCCTCTCTGAAATCAATAAAAATATATTTGGAAAAAAGAAAAAGGCTGACAACACCCACTGTTGGCGGCCGGAACACTCATTGGCTGAAAAGCATGTGCAGTGGTTTGGACTCCCCGGGCCTCTGAATCCACAGGCCAAGGAGGAAGTCACTGTGCTGGTGGGCGTGTCTGATCCCAGCCATCCACACAGGCGTCTGAACAACGGGTGTTTAGAGCAGCCTTACACACAACGTGCAAAAACCAGAAACGACTCAGATGTTCTTCCATTTGCAGACTGCGTGTATCCTGCAAGGGAACACTACTCCACAAGGAAAAGGGAAGAGATACGGACACCAAGCGCCATGAGCGGGCCTCCCGGAGGTGCATGGTGCCAAGTGAAAGCAAACAGACTCCAAAGCGCCGTACGGGATGGCCCCCCTTGCGTGCCATTCCGGAAAAGAAGAAACCATGGCAACAGGAAACAGGTCGGAGGCTGAGGGTACTGGGATACAGGGGATGGTCCAGAATATTTTGGGAGGTGATGAATTGCTCCATGTCTAAATTCTGGGGGGTGGTTACACAACGTTATGCCTTTGTCAAAACTCACAGACCAGGACAACCTAAACGGTACATTTTAATGTATTTAAATTAAACCATGAAAGGAGAAGCATGAGATTGGGTACAGACGGCTGAGCCACGTACAAGGCACAAAAGAAGTCCCCAGGTAGAGGGAGATCGAAAACAATGACTATGACACATCCAGAACACACAGCTGTTCTTCACAAGCGAAAATAAAGGCAATCTCAAATGACAAACAGAAAAGCTTGCTCATAAACAAAGGGGGGAAAAACATACCAATATTAAAACGGAAAACTTCCACAGGGTCTCGGCGTCCCTTCTTGCTGCGTATTACCCAGATTCCCACCAGCCCGGCCGGCGTGGCTCAGGGCTGAGCGGTGACCTATGAACCAGGAGGTCACGGTTCGATTCCCGGTCAGGGCACGTGCCCGGGGCTGCTGGCTCGATTCCCAGTGTGGGGGCATGTAGGAGGCAGCCGATCCATGATTCTCTCTCATCATTGATGTTTCTCGCTCCCCCTCCCCCTTCCTCTCTGAAATCAATAAAAATATATTTGGGAAAAAGTATTAAAAAAAAAAAAAAAGAGTAATACACCCTTTCATCTCTTCCAAGCCCCAATAGGAAAGAATGAATATAAATCAAAACAAACTTTTAGCAAGTTATGTATTTATTTAGTTCACACAAACCTTAAATATATTTGTTTTCATTGAAAACAAACTGGACCCTTCGCTTCTTGGCTTAAAACCTGGCAGAAGGAGAAACTTCTAAATGCAAAGTGATTTAGGAATGTTGTAAATAGTTCCAACTCCCCAATTAAAATTCAGCACGTGCATGCCCAATAAAATATTGTTGTGCTAATTCATGGGGCCGTTCACTTAGGTCATGGAGACCAGTGGGGCCCTGGATATTAAGAATCCGCTGGGGAAAAGGACAAATGGATCACGAATGTAGCCAAAGAGAAATTCACGGAATGTTCCGAGCGATTGGCTCCTGATTCAAAGGGGAACAAAAGAGGAAAACTGGAAGGAAGATGTGAAAATACAGGGCGAGAACATTCTATCTTCACTCTTCTAATAGTTGGATGACTTCCAGCCTTTTACAAGTATTTCATTATGAAATGACAGAAAAGGAAAAAAAACTCCTGGCAGTGTCACCAGACGGAGGTCAGTATTTTCCTTGATCACGGTTCTAACTGTAAACAAACCAACTGACAATTAAAATAAAGGGAGATTTAAAATAACGTCAAGTGGCCGTGGCTGGTTTGGCTCAGTGGATAGAGTGTCATGTCAGCTTGCGAGCTGAAGGGCCCTGGGTTCGATTTCGGGCAAGGGCACACGCCAAGGTTGTGGGCTCCGTCCCCAGTAGGGGGCATGCAGGGGGCAGCCAATCAATGACACTCTCTCATCACTGATGTTTCTCTCTCTCTCCCCCTTTTTCCTCCCTTTCTGAAATCAGTAAACATCTATTTAAAAAATAATAATAATTTCAAGTGGAATGGAAACCTTATTCCAATAAGCCCTGGTTCTTATTCTTTTCCCATTTAAAAAAGTATGTCACCACACTGCCACCATCTATACCTATTTTTTTTTTAATTGATTTTTTACAGAGAGGAAGAGAGAGGGATAGAGAGTTAGAAACATCAATGAGAGAGAATCATCGACCAGCTGCCTCTTGCACACCCCCTACTGGGGATGTGCCCGCAACCAAGCTACATGCCCTTGACCGGAATCGAAACTGGGACCCTTCAGTCCACAAGCCGACGTTCTATCCACTGAGCCACACCGGTTTTGGCATATGCCTATTTCTTTGAGTGGACAAAATGGCTCAAAGTTCGAAAAACATGGAAAGAAGTCCCCTTCCTGCCCTCCTCCCCCCCTCCCCCCCCACCACCACCAGCCCCACGGGAACCAGTTCTTGGTGCCCGGTACCTTTTCGGGGAAATGGTGTGTGTAATTCTGGGCACAGGGGCGTTAGGAAACCGGTGGGGCTCCCTGGCCCTCTTTCCCCCAGTGCGTGCAGAGGACGGTGAGTCCCCAGAGACACCCACCCCGCAGCCGGGGGAGAGCTCAGCACGGGGAGCGGGGAAGCCCCACGCGAACCCACGACACCTGCCCCGACCCCGAGGGAGAGAGGAGCGTCTGTGTGCAGAGCCTCTGACGCTTTGGATCGCTCTGCCACGGGTGTTTGTGTCGCCTCCTCGCACAACAGAGGAGCGGGGGGCTCAGATAGCAACTCTGATTCCCTCCGCACCGGGCACACCGCCCGCACCGGCCTTTCCTCTGTCACGCTGCGCCTGGCAGGCTGCTTGTTACCGTGTAGCTGGGGGCTGGGAGGATTAGGCAATCGTGGCGTGCTGTGTGCAAAGAGGTAGAGGGTCGTAGAGGACAGGGGTTGGCGGACCCATTAGTCAACAGAGCGGCAAACTGCGCAGTTTGCCGACCACTGGCCCAGGTCTTCCTACGCTAGCCATGGCGGCGTTCCATCGCGGGCAGAATATCATCATCTCCGTACCCTGCTCCCCAACGAAGAAAAAAAGCCACAAGGTCAAATCCAGCCACCCTGGTGATTATTCAATGGTAAATGGTCTAAGCCAGTGACTGGCAAACTCAGTAGTCCGCAAAGCCAAATGTCAGCAGCGCAGCGACTGAAATTTCTTTGGAGAGCCACATTTTTTTAAACGTAAACTTCTCCTAACGCCACTTCTTCAACATAGACTCACCCAGGCCGTGGTACTTTGTGGAAGAGCCACCCTCAAGGGGCCAAAGAGCCGCAGGTGGCTTGCGCAGCCGCAGTTTGCCGACCACGCGTCTAAACAATCCAATGGGGAGTTAGAGTAAGAGCCTGGCCGGTGCTGCCCAGTGGTTAAGCGTCGACCTATGACCAGGGAGGCCCTGGTTCTATCCCATTTGCAGGCTCAATCCCCCAGTAGGGGTGTGCAGGAGGCAGCCAATCAATGATGCTCCCTCCTCATCGATGTTTCTTCTCTCTCCCGGCCCTCCGAATTCAGATGCACTGTGCAAACACTAACATCACAAACACGGGTGCGATTTTATGGACATCGGACAAAGTTAACGGCACACCACCAGGATAAAGGACTTCTCATACTGGTGCAGGGTCAGTTCATCACGATGACCTGTGTGTGCGCGTTTCCTAGGACACCCTGAGATGCTTCGAGAGAAATGACAGGGTGGGCTCGCAAGGCGTGTGCAGAAATGTTTGCAGCGGCTCCATTTACAACTGCCCCACATTTGAACAACCCCACCCCCCACCCCACCCCCCACGTCCACGGACAAGTGACCTGTGCGAAGTCCATCCTGCGGCCTACCATTCCGTGAAAGAAACAAAATCCCTACGTGAGCAATAATATATATATGAAACCTCAAGCGCGGGCATTGTGCGGAGGGCAGGGAGCCACCCACACACACACACACACACACACACACACACACACACACACACGAGTGCTTGTGGCTCGATTCTATTTCTATCAAGTTCTAGAAAAGCCCGGTGTAATCCATGGTGACTTGGGCAGATCGGTGGGTGCCTGGGCTGGGTGAGCTGAACGTAAAAGGCCAAGTGCGCACATCACGCCTCTATAGAACTGATCTTCAGAGCACAATAATCAATAAGCAAAAGGCAGGGTTAACAGCCGGATTCTGTGCAGTGTCTCCGCGGGAGGGCACATTCTGAAACCCGCACGCCGAAGAGCAGGGAGAGGAGGGCAGCGCCCGCGTCGCCGTTCCCAGTGAGCTAATCTGGGTCAAGTTTCTCCTCCTCCGTCATCGGCGCGGAGCCCACGAGTTGAGGGAAGAGTAGAAGCCATAGAACAACTCATTTCAGGCTTCTCAAATAGCCCTAAATTACATGCTAAGGAAAGGGACTCCTACAGGGCAAACTCCGACGACCAACAGGGATATAATTTTTTCCCAGTCACAGGGAAAAGATCAATAAAAAAAAAAAAAAAAGGAGAGATTTCTCTAGCGAGGGAGGGCATCTCACCGGGGAAGAATATTTGCTCCTTTCAGAAGCTGCCCTAGTTTCTCTCCTTGGGTTCCACTGCTTTCAATAGTCTCTTTCAGGGACCAGAACAGAGCTCCCTGCCCCACCTTCGCTGGGATTTCTCTTCTACCCCCAGGCCATAGAATCTTCTCTGTTCGTTGGCGGCAGGCGCCGAGAGCGAGCAGGGGAGGGGCAGAGCTCCGAGCCAGGCTGACCTGAAAGCTTCGGGCCCGAATGGGAACAGGGTGTGACCATATTCTCTTCAGCAGAAGGCCCGCTATGCAAACCCAGTCGCCTCATTCAAGGATGCAGGAACAAAAAGCACTCCCCTACATCCTGGGCTTCCTGTCTGAGCCTCTCCTGCAGGTCCCGGCCCTGACTGAGCAGGAGGGCATGGTGTCCCCCCCGCAATCCCCAGTCTTTCCCACCCCCTACAGGGCCACAGTGCACCTCATTACAAATGCCACCTGCCAGTCCGGAGTGCAGGGACCTCGCGCCAGCTCCGTCACTGCTGGCCCAGCATCCTCACCGGCCCTGTGCCTGCCTCTGTCAGAGCCTGCCACCCCAGGACTCACACCTGCTGCACCCGGTCCCGCTCTGAGTAAAAAGCCAAAAGACGGCCCATCCCTAAGGTGACCAGGCGTCCCGCTTTGGGCGGGACAGTCCCGATTTGCAACAATTTGTCCTGAGGCGTTTTTAAAAAGTCCCGATTTCTTCTTCCCCAAAAAAGCAGCGTTAAAAACAATAGACGACTCCATTGTCTCAGAGCTGGTTTAGCTTTTTTATCCTCTTGGATGTCCCAGGTGTTCAGAGCGGCAGCGGCCTCACTATGGGGCCGGTGAGGTCTCCCAGGCAGGGCAGCCTGCATCCCGAGGAAGCAAGTGGTACCCGGGCAGCCGGCTGAAGCCGCTCAGATAAGAAATCAGCCGAGAAGCCTGCCCCACGCTCCTCTCCTCTCTGGCACCTTTCCGGTCTGAGCAGCATTCTTGTGCGCACAGTCTGGGCCCCTCATTTCTCTGGGGTGAAAATCCAATTAGCGGTGCTTAGTCAAGTGTTTATCTCTGCTGTCTGAAAATGTACCCGGATCTCCAACTCCTTCCCTCTAAACGTCTCCACAGAGGCACGGATAATTGCAGCGGAACCACCTGGGGCCCCAAGGTTTTTCCTCTCCCTCCTGGCGGTTGCTCTGGGCCTGAGGAGGTTGTAAGACGGGATCTCAGATAGGGACCCGGCTCAGAGACTGCCAGTCAGAGGCAGCCTTTGCTGGGGGCAGGCCTTCGGGGCACAGAAGCTCACGCAGCCAGACAAAGATGGAAAGCAGAGGGAAAACAAAGACTGACGCAGCTCCCGCTTACTAAGTCTCCCTCTGGGGCCACACGCAGAGCGCGCTTCATTTGCTATCATTTAACCCCCGCCTTAATTAATACACGGTAGGACATACGCTCTCTGGGTGAGATGGGGAAGAAGGACAAAAGCGGCTCTCCAGTCTTTTATTCTGAGAGCTGGCAATTAAACACAAAACAATTAAGCCGCCATCCTACTGTATGTGTTTTTCTGTCGCCAGGTGTTAAATCATCAGAGAGCCGTGGCTTGTCAACAACCCCTGTTCTTTATCGCACGAGTCCAGGGGGGCTCCTTCGGGTGCTGGCGAGCTGAGGCCTCGCCCCGGGGCTCCAGGGAAAATCCCGTTCTGTGACTGTGAGGCTGTAAGACCCTGGCTGGTCTGGCTCAGCGGATAGAACGTCATCATCGGCCTGCGGACCGGAGGGGTCCCAGGTTCGATTCCGGTCAAAGGGCACGTACCTCGGTTGCAGGCTCAATCCCCTGCCCCGGGTCTACTGAGAACCGCCATCCATTTTCAGGGTTGGGGGTACGGGTTTCGGGGTTGTGCGTGAAGACGTGTGTATTTTTTTTGAGAGATGCGTACAGGACCGAGATGCTACGAGGCGTTCGCTCATTGCTTTAAACAATCTCGGCAACCACAGAAAGAGGGGAGGAAGAAAGCAGAGATGGCAAAATGCTGAGAAACGCCGAATCCCGGCGATGCCTGCGCTGGCGGGACCGTTATCCCGGCCCACTTCGGCGTCTGATGAAAAACGTCCACTGTCAGCCGTTTCATTTAAGAGCGTCCATTCATCGCGCATCTGCCGAGGACACGTCCTTGGGGCGAGGGCTCCGGGAACGTTTCCTGCTGAATCCTCACAACGGCCTCACGAGGCGGCCGCTTCCCCGATAAGGAAACTAATGAAACCGCCACCGGTTCGGGGTGCAGCCAGCGGGTCTGCCAGTCGCCCCGTTATCTCAAGCAAAGACTCCTTCTTCTTTTCATCTCACAGAGCGCGTGTACAAACTGCCTAGCGCCCACACTGGGGGGGTGGAGGGGACGTCTCCCAAACCCTGTGCTAACCATCTCCGAGCTCACACATAGGGGGGGGGGGGGGCAGGGATGATGCCGGTAGGGAAGGGGCGGTGAGAAAGGGGGTTGAGAGGCAAGGGGACAACAAAGGGTGAGAGCAAAGCAGGGGAACCACAGAGAAGGGGTAACGGAAGTGCAGGAACCCCAGCGCCAGCCAGAGGAGGAGAATGCACAGGGCAAGGGGGTAGAGGTGGGGGCAGACAGGCGAGCACGCGACACGTGAAATCTCCAGCTACGGCGAAGCGTGAGGCTAGGTCTGTGTCCGGCCGGCCACCCTGTGCCCTCTCCCCACCCCCACCCGCCGGCCGCTGTTCTCCGTGAGCGCCCAAGCGTCATCGGCTTCTCTGGAGCAGCTCCAGGCTCCCGAAGGGGAAGGCAGGGAGGAAGGAAGGACTTGCTTGGCCAGTTTTTTTTAACCGCATTTAACGGAGAGAAAGCTCACAGCCTCAGAAGGCCAGGGAGAGCATCGCACTTCCTCGTTGACCTCGAAGGTCCACGTGAACGCAGTGGCCGCTCCATCCTCATTTGTGCCGGACGAGCTGCGGTCGCCACAGAGCCCTCCCACAGCCACATGTCTGTCTGTCTGTCTGTCTGCACGGGCCAGGACCGGCATTAGCCAGGGCCGGGCCGGGGCCTCTGTGTACACGCCCGGGGGAGGCTGCTCGCCTGCAGGGCACAGGCTCTGAATGAGGCCACGGGAATGAGAGGACGCGAATGAACAGCATACAGAACCCAAACAGCCCGCGACAGCCGCCCAGATCAAGGACGCCGGCCCCACACTTTGGAAAGATGCCGCAGCCCCTTGAGAGCGGGTGATGGCTGGGGAGACACTGGCCGGCTGGGCACCTCAGAGGTGGTCCCCACAGAGGGGGCTTCCTTCTGGTTCCCAGTGCCCAGTTCTGGCCCCCTCCTCAACGTCCTTAAGACCTCGAGTCAAAAAAAAACCGGTGTGGCTCAGTGGATAGAGCGTCGTCGGCCTGCGGACTGAAGGGTCCCAGGTTCGATTCCGGTCAAGGGCATGTGCCTTGGTTGCCGGCACATCCCCAGTAGCGGGGAGGGGTGCGTAGGAGGTAGCTGATGGATATTTCTCTCTCATCGATGTTTCTAACTCTCTATCCCTCTCTCTTCCTCTCTGTAAAAAAATCAATAAAATTTTTTTTTTTTTTTTTTAAAGACCTGGAGTCAAACTGCTCCTTTTCCCACGGGCTCATTCACAAGACAGGCTCCTTCGGATGTACGTGGTCCTTAAGTACCTGGCTACTGACACGACCTCCCCACCCCCGGCTTGGAGGGTCAGGCACACGAGGCGTGGGGACCGCGAGCAGACATCGCCGCGGTGACGGCGACATCACCGGTGACAGATGCCGGGCGCCGAGGTGGGACTTACCGATTTTCTGGTTGAAAATCTTGTCGAAGGTTATCTCGTTCCTCTCCTCGAGATACTTCTGCATCACGCTCCGGATACTGAAAGAGAAGGGCGGCACGGGGTTAGCGACGGCGGCCTGCACCGCCCGCAGCCATCGCGCCGTCGCTGCAGCGGGAGCCCGCGGTCTGTGATCGGCCCAGGACGCGGGCCAGGCCGGAGCCCTCTCGCGCTGGCACCCGCGATGGCACCAATGGGGCTCGACGTGACGCAGGGAGCACCCCAGCTCCAGCTGTTACTTTCTCCTGCGACCCACATGCAGAGACGCGCCTCCTAAAAAATGACTTAGGGACTTGGGGAAAGGGTGCCCTTAACACCGCCGCTTTGCAAAACAGGCGTGCACACACGTGACAGATTCTGCTCACCCACCCATGGGCTTCTTTCCCCCCCCCCAGCTCCCCCCCCAAAAAATTTATATATTTTTTATTTCAGAGAAAAAGGGAGATGGAGAAACACCAATGATGAGAGAGAATCACTGATTGGCTGCCTCCTGAGCAGGGAATTGAACCGTGACCTCCTGGTTCATAGGTCAATGCTCAACCCCTGGGCCATGCCAGGTGGGTTCAATTGACTCCTATTTAAAACAAAATTTTAAAGTTACCTGTATAGATGATTAAATTTTTTTAGATCATATTTCTGAACATCAACCAGAGAAACTTGAAGAAAACATAATTGGGAGAAAGATTTCACGGACAATGGAATAAGAAACGTCAAATGTCTTGAAATAAATACAGTACATGTTCAGGATCGTTACAGGGAAAATTACAAACTGCCCTGGGAGACAGTCATGAAGATCTTAGCAAATAAAGAGATACACTGCTGTTAGGAGCCAAAGGATTTAATACTGCAGAAATTCAAAGTCTATCCAGGTTGATCTATAAAATCGATACAGCCCCCCATCAATATTCCTACGGGGTTTTCTCGGAGCTCAGAAACGGGGGGGGGGGGGGGGGGGGCCTCTTTGCAGAATGTCTACGAAACAGCACAGGCTCAGGAGCAGCCGAGACATCACTGAGGAAGGCGAGTGACGACAGTGGGGCTGCGGGTGAGGCTGAAAGAATGGAGACAGGGTAAACAGGGAACTGGACCGAGGCCACGTGGACAGGCCACACACACACACACATGGAACTCCGATATGTAACCGAAGCAGCAAAGCAGACAAATCAGAGAGGGAGGGATTATTCCGGAAGCAAACCCCAAAAGTAAGTAGAAAGTGTAGAGACTGAGTGAGTCTCTATCATCCATTGATGGGCAGCAATTTGGCGTTGCTTTTTTTTTAATTTTTAAAAATATATTTTATTGATTTTTTTACAGAGAGGAAGGGAGAGGGATAGAGAGTCAGAAACATCAATAAGAGAGAAACATTGATCAGCTGCCTCCTGCACATGTCCAACTGGGGATGTGCCTGAAACCAAGGTACATGCCCTTGACCGGAATTGAACCTGGGACCCTTGAGTCTGCAGGCTGATGCTCTATCCACTGAGCCAAACCGACTAGGACTATTTTTTTTTTTTTTTTTTACTTTTCTAAACAAACTATTAAAGGTTATAATTGGTATGCAGTTAAATGTCTATGCAATTGTCCCACTCAATGAGTTTTCACATGTAACCACTATCCTAATCAAGATATCAAATATTCCTATCACCCCGAAAGGTGCCTCTTGGCAATCTCCCCAGAGTCTGGGATCTAGGCGACTGCCCATCCCCTTCCTGTTAATCGGGTGACTCCCCCCAGTCTGAGAATCTTACATCATTGCTCTCACACAGCACATGGCCTTTTGGGGTCTGTCTTCCATCACTGGGCATAAGCGAGCCCCTCCATATTGCTGGGCACAGAAGCATGGAGTTGTTCCCTGTTGCCCAGCAGAATGGCCTTGTAGTCCACCATTTGTTTACCCCTCAGCTGCTGACACACATATGGGCTGTTTTCAGTTTGGGGCTATTATGAAACAAGACACTTTAAACATTTGTGTGTAAGTCTTTGTTTTTTGTTTTGTTGTTTATGGACACGTGTTGTTGTTGTTTTTTAATTTTTTAAATATATTTTATTGATCTTTTACAGAGAGGAAGGGAGAGGGACAGAGAGTTAGAAATGTCGATGAGAGAGAAACATCGATCAGCTGCCTTCTGCACACCCCCTACCGGGGATGTGCCCGCAACCAAGGCACATGCCCTTGACCGGAATTGAACCTGTGACCTTTCAGTCCGCAGGCCGACGCTCTGTCCACTGAGCCAAACCGGTTTCGGCTAAACACGTGTTTTCATGTGTCACGGGTAGGCATCTGGAAGTGAAACTGCTGGCCACATGCTGAATCGCAGTTGACAGCATGAAGAGGTGCTGAGCTGGATTCCAGAGGGGCTGGGCGCTGTTCCTTCCCACAACAATGGACGACAGCTGGCCCGTTCAGAGTCAGTACGCTGGCTCCCCGTCCCTCACAGGGCTTCCGCTGTCAGTCTTTCTGGCTTTAGCCGCTCTGTCGGGTGTGTGGTGGCACCTTATACTGACCTGTGTTTGCATTCGCGGGTCCCTAGTGAACCACGATGCTGAGCGTGTTTGAACACGACGATTGGAACACGTGTTGTGAAATCTTTGGCCTCTCTTTTAATTGAGTTGTTTGTCTTACTACTTGGTTGTAAAATTTCTTCAAATAGCCTGGGAACAAGTCCTGTGACGCGTTATGTGATGATAATATACTGACTGGAGGCCTAGTGTTGTTGTTTTTTTAGTTTACTATCAACTTGATGGAGATATGTCCACCCTCCCTGTCCTGACCTCCTGAGGCCCTGCTATATAAACACAAGGTAAGTATGATAAATACTGTGTCATCATTTTTTTTTAAATGTGGCTGAAATATTAGCTACCAGATATCTGCTCTCTCCTGGCCAAAGAACAGGGCAAGCTAAGTTGTACTGCCACCTTCCTAGCAGAGAAACGACCGTACATGTGACATAGCGAGGCCTCTCCCATTATGAAAAGCTTCTCTATTCTAGCCCTGGCCGGTTTGGCTCAGTGGACAGAGCGTCGGCCTGCGGAGTGAAGGGTCCCGGGTTCGATTCCGGTCGAGGGCACGGACCTCGGCTGCAGGTTCCTCCCTGGCCTGGGACCTGGTCGGGGCGGGCACGTGCAGGAGGCACCCAGCATAATCACCCACAAGAGGCAGCGTGCAGGAGAGAGCGGTGAGGACCGGGGAAGAGGGGCGGTGAACGTGCTCGGTCAGAAGCGCCACACAATGCGAGTTGCTATCATCACGGACCCCCCACCCCCCCCCAGAGAAGGCAGATTGTTTTACAAGATAAGATGACTAAGCAGTCAGACCCAAGATGCAATTCCCCCAAAAGGAAATTGCTTTTCTTTCGTTTGTACTGACTAAATATTTTCCACCAACTACTCATTAAACACTCGAAATAGAGCTGCGTTCGCCAATGTCGCAATAAAAAGTTTACCGCTCGGTTCAAAACCACCGAACTCCGCCAGATTGGCTCTGAGGAGGTCGGCAGAATCGCCTGGTACAGCTGACTTCTCCACACTGCTCAGGTTTCCCGGTTCATCGGATCTTTGGCAGAAAAGTCTTGCATATAATTTACATATCGCTAGGCGAGTCAGTGCGAGACCACTGACATTCAGAAGATCATAACCCAATTAAGCAAACTGTGAATTTCTTTGCGGCTCTCCTACAACATTTTGACAATCCACATCGTGTTCTTAATGTCTTTTTCTTGGCAACGTGTGACCCGATATTAAACTGACATGGAGCAGCACCCTTGAATCTCACGGGCCAACGAGCGCCGTCATCGTGTTCGAAAGCCATCCATCCACCCCCAAGCAGATGCAGTTTGAAGAGTGAACACATGGATGGGGTCAGTTGACCTCATCAAAGCTACTAAAACGTGGGGATCTAAACTTGCCCTTCAAATGGGTTACCATGGCCACTTGAGAACCCATTCACTTGTTATCAAAATACTTTTTTAATCAGCACCAGCACAGAAGCAGCTTGCTTTCACTGCTGTGTGGTTGTTGGTATGAGATCAGCCCTCAGGGAGGGAGCCTGCAGGCGAGGGGAAAGGAAGGAGGGGGGTTGGCAGGAGAGCCTGGAGCATCCTCCTGGCCTCCAAGAGCCATTTTACATGGAATTATCTCATTTAAAGGGATACCCAGGGCCTCTGTTTGCACATTATAGGAAGCGTTTCCAAAGGGGCCTCCACCAGCCCAGCGGCCACCTCCTGCCGCCATGCCGCTGGTCTGGCGGCCACACTGGATTTTTTTTCATCGCCCGGTACTCCTGCAAGTATCATCCCCACGAAGGCTTCTCTTTACATGAAAACCTTCTACACATCTTCCGGTCGGGCTCGCTGACACTGTGGCGCGGTCCCCAGCTCTTGCACAGGTTAAGTCTCACTTCCGTTTCCATCGCGGCATCATTTCCCACAATGCACTGCAAGCATATAGACTTTACATACGAATAGCTACATATAAACATATGGGCAAATATATGCTATATCATAAATACATAGAAAAACATCAGGAATGCAAAATGACCTCCCAATTCAAATCTGAACCGTCCAGGGTGTTTACTTCAGCTCTTGTCACATCCTCGCGTGCCTCTTCATTGACCAGTTAAAACCTTAATGCTTATTACCCATCGCAGTGGTCGGCCAACTGCGGCTCTCGAGCCACATGCTGCTCTTTGGCCCCTCGGGTTTCTAGCAAAGGCCAGCTTAGGAGTGCCCTCATGAAGTCAATAACAATGTACCTACCTATATGGTTTCAGTTTTTAAAATGTGGCTCTCCAAAGAAATGTCCATCGTTGTACTGCTGACATTTGGCTCTGTGGACTAATGAGTCTGCCGACCCCCGACCCAGCGATATCTATAGAGTCTATATGAAACAACTTGAAGTAATAACATTAAGACCTCTGAATGAGGTTCTATTTATCTCAGAAATCTAGAGGGCCGTATGGCATCGCCTAGCAAAACTGAAAATGCCCGTATCTTACTCACTTTTTTTCTATGGGGGGGGGGGGAGGGGAAGGGGGAGGCGGGAG